TTTTTAGTAGAAAATGTCATGTCCGACCTCTCTAATCGACCCGATCCACTGTGCGCCGACCTCTTTCCGCCACCGCCCCGTCCGGATCGGTTTAAAATTCGCGAAAAAAATCTCGCATATTTATCTTTTATTTACCCAGGTTATAAAAAGTTTACCGGCAAGCTCAGTCCTCAGTTATTCGCGAGCTGGCGGCGATAAATCAACACTAACGCCGACGCTGCCGGGATAAAGCAGGAAAAGATGGGGACTTTTTCGTAGCGCCGCACAGTGGATCGAGTCGATAGGAGAGATCGGACTTAATTAGGAAACTTAAGAAGCTTATAACTCCGTTTATAATAAATTTTGAGGTTTTAAAAGTGGTTCCATTGGTTTCCGCGTGAAATTTTCTTCTCGAAGCACCCCTTTAATTTTAAAATATGACGAGAAAAAACATCAAATTTTGCAACTTTGGTGAAAAGTGTCATGTCCGACCTCTCTAATTGACTCGATCCCCTGTGCGCCTCCACGAGATCTCGGGAATCGGGGATGAGGAATCCCCCGGAAAAGTCAGGGTTTTTACGGGAAAAGAAATTTAAAAAAGTACATATTTTCTGCCCTGGCCGTGTCGATTTTTGTGGTTTTTTATCATGATTATCTCGGGATTCTTTTCTTTTGCAGGTGGGAGGTCTGGCTAGATTAATCCTTCATTAAAAAAGTGTGATGATTATTATTTTAGGATTTGAATAAAATCCAGGAAATATCGGGGAATGATCCTTGCATCATAATATAAAAGGCTAATAATCAAACACTTTGCTTAGTGCATAGGCAGATAGTCAACTTTTGAAGACCTAGTTTTTCCTAGTTTACCTAGACCTCTACCTAGTTTCGCGTGTCTTTATTGAGAATTTCTCACTGTTTCAGCACATACGCAGGAGAAATTTCAGCGAATGTACTGCAGAGTACGAGGCAAATTCCTTGAAATTTTCACGGGAATCTGCTCAAACTTTCTTTTGTAAAAAATTTAAATGCCCAGTTAAACCTGCAAAAGCTGATGTGGCTTGGTTCCTATCTGCTTAAAGTGGTCCAGTTAGCCTAACATACAAGGACAATTGGACGTATATCTGCCAAGTGGAACTATGTGCATTGAGACATGAGCCCTGAGACCCATAAGAATGTACGCAGAACAGGGCTCATAGTGCTCATAGTTCCGTTCGGCAGAATTAAGTCCAATGGAGATGTTCCATGTGTGAGGGATTTGCGATTTGACCATTGATTCATAGGTAAAAGTTCGCGAGAAACACGATGGTGCCACTGGTTTTCTCTGAAATCATCTCCCAAGCTCAAAACCAGCTCTCAAGTTGAGGCCAGAATGGAGGGGATATCCCACCCTACCCTGAGAGTCCACCTCTACATCAAAACAAACTCTCCATGCAACTACATCAAAACAAACTCTCCATGCAAAGATAGGGAGCAAATACATTAGCAGGGTTGCCGTGTTTTCAGTTTTGGAGTCCCCAAATAAAGTGGCAACCCTGTCAATGTATTTGCTCCCTATCTTTGCATGGAGAGTTCGTTTTGATGTAGAGGTGGACCCTTAGGATAGCGTGGGATATCCCCTCCATTTTGGCCTCAACTTGAGAGCTTTTTTTGAGCTTGAAGGATGATTTCAGAGAAAACCAGTGGCACCATCGTGTTTCTCGCGAACTTTTACGTAAGAATAAATGGTCTAATCGCAAATCCCTCACACATGCAACATCTCCGTTCTAGAAGACGCGGAGAGCTCGGAAAATTCTACGCGCCCTGTTGACGGGGCAACCGGCGCGGCGCGTGAAATCGGCATTTAACTGATTGCGCAACACGTTGCTCATCATCCATCATCGAGCGAAAATGAGTGTTGAACTCGGAGAGTAACTTTGGCCATAATCGGAGTCTCGGAAATATTTCGTCTCTGCCTGCAACTTAATTATTCGGAATCCATCACCGGAAAATTCGACGCCCCGCTCAAACCGAGCGTTCGGCGACTCTAACCGAATTAACTTTCCCGCGCCCGACTCAACGCTCAACAGCGGCAGCGCCCCATTGATGTTTTCACGGGGAAACTTTCCAAGGGCTCTGTTCTTTCCTTCTCCCCACTTACACCCCGACAACGCCAGCCAAGTTCGCCTCCCTCGGAAAGTTTGCGCAGGGGAGGGGGNGGGGGGGGGGGGGTGCCGGCCGCCGGCGTACCCCGGGGGAGCGAGCTTGTTAAAGTGACTCGCACAATTCGGGACGTTTCATTTTCCTCCCATTTTTTGCCCCCGTTTATTTCGCCCCCTCCTGCCCCCCTTCCCCGCGGGCTTCCTTTCTTCTCTCGTATCGTTTTATCCCTGGCGGGCTCGCTCTGCACTTCTGTCGTCATAGGATCGTGTCGTCCAATCAAGAGCTGACTCTAAAAAGTTACGACGATGAGACTTGGTCGTCCCGCGATTGAACCGCGTTTATCTGGAGGGAGCAGGGCGATGGTTCAATTCCATAACCGCGTATCTCAGTTGCAACTTGTTAAACATTTTAGCGCAGGCTGCGCCAGTTATAAGCGCAGTAGCCGTCCAAAGCGTGCGAGCAGGGTAGTCAAAAGTTGTTTTCGCTGATGACGATGACTGATGACCGACTTGTTAAAACTGATTGTAACTGATGAATGTGAGATCGAGCAGTTTGTAAAGCAGGTTTGTCAAACTGATTTTGTTCGTTGCACAGATTAGGCGACACGGCGAAAGAAAAGTTTGCTTCTTGTAGAATACCTAAGTTTTCGATCAAAGGAACCGAACTTCGGTCCAGGTAACCAAAATTTTTCTTCTTCATGCTAAGATTCGAATTTTTTTACGGTGGACTTCGATCGTCCAAATCAAAGTTGGGTTATTCTAGAACCGAAAACGTACATATTCCATGTATAAAACGAAGATTCTTTCCACGTGAATTTAACATTAATCTTTGTCCGGTGACGAAAGGAGCGTCCATCTCTGAGACTAATTTTCTTCATGACAGCTTTATTACGGGGGTCTCTAAAATATGTTGTCAGAAGCGCAGTCCAAATTCTTCCTCGTTTCATAATGGTTGATGAGAAACTTATTGAGTAGTGAGCCTGATGGTGACTGATGCATGCAAGATTGAGCAGTTAAGTGTCCTGCCACCTAGGGGCCACAACTAAGGCCACAAACTAGGGACCTCAAAGAGGCTCATCTATAGAATTGTTGATTGTTGGATTTCAAAGATCGTCGGTCCGACGATCTTTGAAGGTAATCGATACGTTCAGGACCTATACAAGATCACATCTTGAGATTTTCAAGGAATTTGCAGAAATGGCCGAGAAATTAGAGAATGAGTGTCAGTTTGAAGGCCCCCGTTTGTACGTGGGCTGGACGCGTTAGCAAAACAAGTTCGTTCAATTTGGTCTTGCATGTTTGCTGCACAGATTAGCCAACTTCTTGCTCATCTGCCACGTGATCAGTGCCGATCTCCGAAAATAATTTTCGGCCTTTGAAAAGCCTCCTGTGCAGTGTCTTAGGAATATTTTGTCTGTATGCGCAGCCGAAGCACAGAACCAACAACTCCTCCAGCGTTTGTTAGTTTCCAATCAGACTGATTTGAGCCAAGCCCATGACGATTTCGTAATTCTTTTCAAACCGATCCCACTGTCTCGGGATTCATCACTCTTAAGTGTAAAATTCACCTGAATCCAACGAAATAATCCGACCATTTACTTTGAGAATAAGCTCTTGATTGGTCTGATTCTTATGATGTGTAGCCGGGAATTGTTAAAAACAGTGGCATCGGGCTCCACGGAGGCAATCGGATAAGAAACAAAAACATTAATGATGATTTATTGAACCTGTCGAGAATTTGGCCCAGTGGTGACTGATGAATGTAGGAATGAACAGTTTGCGAAACCAATTTGTCAAACTGAATCATATTTGCTGCACGGATTGGCAGACTTGTCGCTTATCAATCATCATCAGGCGAAAAACTGTGTTGACCTCCGAAAATAACTTTGACTGTATAAAAAGCTTTCAGCGCGGGGTTTCTGAAATATTCTGTCTCCGAGCGGAGCCGGTTCGGGCTGAAAACCCGCCGGTTCATCATGGGCCAATAGGGAGATATTAGGGCAGGTTGGCAACCCTGCTTGGAGCGCGAACCACGACCACGACGGGTGGGATCGATTTTTAATAAGGTTTTGGAAGTGATGAGCCTGGCAGGGGGATGGGGGAGGGTCCCGCCTCTGGGTCAGAACTGTCGCGAGTTAACAGAATTAGAAGCGATTCGAAAGCTTCCGATAAATTCCCGTCGGTACCGTGGTACCCTCGCACCGAGCGCGCGCACGGACACGCACTCTCGCAGCGGTCCCGCCAACGTGGTGTAAGAAATTACTTCACGCGCTTTAAGCACGTTGCGAATGTATTAACTAAGAACGCTGCTGGCGCCACTGGGTCGACTATGTGCTCTCATGGAGGGTTTGTGAAGCCTTGAAAAGTCCCTGAAATTTTGGGGAGCTTATATTTATGTGTTAGTCTTCTTTTAACTCCGTCAGCCAACTATAAATGCGCAATTGCGCAATGCGAATGCGCGAATTTCCATTTTGAAGATGTGTCGCAACACAGGCGAATCGTTATCAAATCAAGGCAGTCTCGGTTGTTAGGCCCTAGAGGACCTGTAATAGGGGCGGCTTTGCCACTTTTCCGCCTCAAAATTTTCGAAATGACAATTTCATTTTTGCTTTTTGTTTTTCGTAACGAGGTAAATCAGCCTCCTCGTCCATGTTTATCAATTTACGCAAAATGATAATAATCAGCATCATCCCTCAAACGACAGCGCAGAGCGTTGCGTTGTTCGTGCGAGAAAGTCCCGTGCGGTCCCCTTGCGGCAAAACGATAGAGGGTGGTGGAGGAAGCCTCCCCAATACCGCCGCCGCTGCCAAATACATACAGTGACCAATTCATGAAGATGTTGGACCTGCTCGGCTTTAACAGGTGGTGTTTGAATTGTTTCAGATTTTCGCACGAGATTCAAGATGACCACCTATTTCAACTACCCTCCCGCTGAATTGCAAGAGGAGCTTAAGAAAATCGCGCAGGCCATCGTAGCCCCTGGAAAGGGTATCCTTGCCGCCGACGAATCCACCTCTACCATCGGCAAACGTTTCAAGGACATCGGCGCCGAAAACAACGAGGAGAACAGACGTCAGTACCGTCAGGTTAGTCCCTCAATTTACTTGTCTCTCCATGCTTCATTATACTTAGGGGATAGCCGGGAGGGATGGGAATTTTTTTTCAATAACAATTTTAGGTCTGTTTCAATGAAAAAAATTGAAAATTGAATGAAGGCTCTCCTTTTGTATGCTGTAAAGAGCATACAAAAAAATCGGGACCCCAAAATATTGATACCTAAAGCCTCAGGAGCACTTTTTTAAAAATTTCAAAAACGTCCCATCCGTCACAACCTCAGGGACGGTTTGGACAGTAGATAAATTGACAACCTTTTTTTAAGTGTTTATCTTTTATCACAGTTCTGAACATGAAAAAAAAACATAAGTATGGTATGAAGAATACAACATGACAATAGGAAAAAAAAACAAACTTAGCCATGAATGCACGTGAATGAGCCTTATCTTTAAAGTAACGATGAAAAATAGCACGAATAGCTTTAAATTTATCTTCTTCTCAGGAACTTACTAAAATGATGTTTTAAAGCATCAATGTTACTTTAGTTTCTAGTAAAAGCTTTCAAAAAGTTTTCATAGCCATTGACGTGAGCATGCCATTGATATACCATACAGAAAATAATTTAATGATTCCACACCAAATTGTAACCAGATGCGTTGACCCCCTAAGGAGTTCCACCCAACTCTACATCAATCACTAAAAATTGTGTCTCTGTTGACTGAGATCACTTTTCATCAGACTGACACATAAGTATGATGGTTCTCATTTCTCTGAAATCTATGTGAATTTTGAATTTTTCAGTTGTTATTCACAACAGACAAAGCTCTCGCTGATAACATCTCTGGTGTTATCTTGTTCCACGAGTCTCTTTACCAGAAGGCTGATGATGGCACTCCATTTCCCGTCCTATTGAAACAGAAAGGAATTATTCCCGGAATCAAGGTTGATAAGGGTGTTGTCAACCTTTTCGGATCCGAAGGAGAGACAACCACCCAAGGTGAGATTTATTTCCATGTTTTCCGTTTGTGTTATTTTTAATGCATTTTCACCATTTTCACAAACAGCCGAACCTCTACAGTTTGAAAATCTTGATAACCAAAAAAAACCTCGCCCTTTCTTTCCCCTGAAAATCATTCTTCACATGTAACAAAAATTTGTTCTCTTTTACGTTTGAATTCTCTGAAATTATTAGAGAACGTCTCCTCAAAATTTTTGAAAGTTTCTTGGTTTTTTAGTTATTTTTATTTTTTTAAGGTCAATTAGTAAGAATGAAAAAAAAGGTACCTAGATAATTTTTTTGAATCCATTTCAGTTCATTAATATCCTTTAAAATTAATTTTATTACTGGCCGATTCTGCCAGTGGATTTGGACATTTGCTCCTCTCGTGAATTTCTATGCCCATTCATAACCCTCCCCATTCTTATTTTCAACAGGTTTGGATGATCTGGCTGAACGTTGCGCTCAGTACAAAAAGGACGGTGCTGACTTCGCAAAATGGCGTTGTGTCTTGAAAATTGGAAAGAACACACCCTCATACCAATCCATCCTTGAAAATGCCAATGTCCTTGCCCGCTATGCCTCCATCTGTCAGGCCAACCGCATCGTCCCTATTGTCGAACCTGAGGTAAGTCAAACCCGATTTCTTCTTAAACACATTTCCAGTAGGAGAATTAATATGTGAGATTCCTCCTTTTTTCTCCGATCGCAAATTTTGATGGGCCTTACTAAATTTTGTGGGCTTGAAAAGTTTTTAACCCAACCTTTTTGTTGTTGAAAAGAGTGATCCCCACTACAGTAGAACTGTGGTATGATACTTAGTATGTTTTTTGTCTCATCAAACTGCTGAGGTTGTTTCTTTCGATGTAATTTTTTCTCATTATGCTCTGTAAACACTGGTTAGAACTTTTTGAAGATTGCTCCTCTTAGTGGACTTTCATTATAGAAGAGTCTGAGACTAGACATTAGGTTTCTAAGAAACAATTAGCAATTTATAAGGTTCCTCTGAATTTGAATGAAATTGGATCAATACTAGTAGCACACTATAATACATTTGATCTCATCACAATTTGGCAGAAATGTTTGTCTATAATGTTTAAGTTTTGGCTATGTGAACAGAACCAAGGGCCAGAATGTCAATTCATGAATGCAAAAAGCTTTGTTCCTGTGATAAGGAGGATTAAGACTGATAACCAGAAGAGCGTTGGAAATCAGAGTGTATTATTGTTGCATAAATTTGCGCTTCATCAATATTAATGAATGGGCTTATACATTAACTTATTACCATTTGTAGCTGAGTGTAGCTGCAGAATTTACAATAAAGTTGAATCAGGGGTATGCTCTCCTCTAGATAACTAGGAGACATAAATGGGTGTATTTAGTTCTTATATCACCTGGAAAAATTTTAGATATTTTTTTAAATAAGGAAAAGCATACTAACATGCTCCATGTGCTACCAAAGTGAAATTTTGAAAGTCCGAACTATCATAAAAAAATGCAAACTGTAACTGTAACTTTTCAGAGTAAAACATCCAGGATCTAAAGAATCATGGATACTGCAGGGAGAACAATCCACATGCATCTTCGATGAAAGAATTAGTTAGATCCATGTAAAATTAACAAAGTGAAGGGGTTATCCCAATAGTAAATTAGAAAAGTTCTTTTCATTTTTTCTTCCTCTAAGAAGAGGTCTAAAAATCTCCCAGGGAGTATTAGAACTTATCACCCACAATTTGCTGCAACCCAAGATTTTGATCAAATTAGTTCAGTGAGGTTGCATTAGGTAGTCAATGGAATGGCCCATATACTCTCTTAGCCTGCATTTCACTAACTTTATCCGTTCGAATTTCCACGAGTTGGTGGCAAGACTCTCAGGACGTGTTTAATCTTCTCTGCTGATGTATTCTAACAAAAAAAGAAAAATTGGTCTTGTTGTATTAACGCCTTTGATTCCACATCTATTTTAATATCATTAGAATAAGAACACTGTACATTTTTATTTGCCAGAATTAATGGTTGAGGATGTGACTGGACAGTAAATCAAAGTTAATTTTGAAAAAGTTGGGAAGGTTTGTTTGTGTGTTTAGAATCAGTTCATGTACTTCTTTGAGTGTGAATGAATTAATAAGTCCCTGCTCCTCTTTTTGCAGGTTCTTCCCGACGGTGAGCACGATTTGGACCGTGCCCAGAAGGTTACAGAAACTGTTCTAGCTGCTGTTTACAAGGCACTCAATGACCACCATGTATATCTGGAAGGCACACTCCTGAAGCCAAACATGGTGACCGCTGGTCAGTCATGCCCAACCAAATACACTCCAGCTGATGTTGCAAAGGCCACAGTCACCGCCTTCCAACGCACAGTCCCTGTTGCCGTTCCAGGTATGAAATCATTCTTCCTTTGCCAAAAAAATATTTACAATTTTACTGAAAAATTGTTACTTAATTCATGTCCTATCTTTGTTTTTGTTGTTTTGAATACAAATTGATTCCCGTTTTGGTCTATTTAGTTTCAAAACAAACAAGGGTTGAACATTTTTTAATTCAAATTAGAAGGTTTATGGAAAGAAAAGTGATGCAAAAGAGTCAGTAGCTCAAGAATGTAAGTAACCTAAATCAGGCTCACGTAAATGCAATGTGAGTAACAATGTTCCATAACAATGTTTTATATTTTCTGACCTTTTTCTTGTTTCTTTCCTTTACCAGGAGTTACCTTCTTATCCGGAGGACAGTCTGAAGAAGAAGCCTCTGTCCACCTAGACGCTATCAACAAATACCCTGGCAAGAAACCATGGACCCTCACCTTCAGTTACGGTCGTGCCCTTCAGGTAAAATTTTCTCAATATACTCAACAATAAAACATATTTCATAACATAGGCATGTCACTTTTTCAACATGGAAGTGTGGGGTGCAGTAGCAAAACCTGTTGAAATATGATCATGAGCAAATTCTCCAATGAATGGTATGTCCTCACCTCAAGGAAAGAGTCAAAATGTCTGAAGTAATTTTGATTTCTAGTCGTCATATTATTCTTACAGCAATTTTTTTGAAGTTTTATGTAACTGTAAAATGACAACATTTTATTTCATAAAGTGTATTCTAGATTTGTGTATGAAAATTATGCGTGTGAGTTGTAATTTTTGGCATGCGAGGCCCAGCAACATCTTTCAGAACTTTTCATCTAAGTCTCCGAAACTGGTATTTTGCACTTCACACATGCCTTTGCTTTTCTTAAACATATAAGTGGCTCATCGTTGTATCTAATATACAAGATTAAGAATGGTTGAGATCCATTTTTCTCATTTACAATTGGCAATGGAGAGTCCAACAGCAGAAAGCAAGAACAATAAATAAAATGCAAAATGACAGCATACAGGACGTACCATAGTATGTACCAATATTAAAAAAGCTTATAAATAGGAAATCAAATTAGTAGACTAGAGGTGGTAATGTATTTGTGGTATGGGTAAAAATTCAGTCCAGAAATTCATAAAAAGAAGTCTGTTAGCATTCAGACGGCAGACAATAAAAATGTTTCATGAGTTGGGAAATCAGCAGTACCTACCCTGAATCCGCAATTTTAGTTCATCTGAGAGTAAGTGGACCCTTGTCTTAACAATTTAGCGTTCAATCCAGGTATATTTCCAAATTTTAATTGAAATTTTATCCATATGTCGATCCACCTATTAAATTCAGGAATATTCATTCCATCCTATTCGATTCTCGAACCTTATGCATCTAATTTGCATTCAAATGGTATATTTTCGTTTTTGTCATTGTAGAATCAGTCACTCTGCTCTAATTATTCGAACAATAGGTTCTGCTACACCAATTCGGATGAAACGAGTGATTAGGGATAAGATCTTACTACTCATTCAGTATTTTCCATTTTTTTTGTTAATTGAATTGTGGAATTTTTTTTGCAGGCTTCCGTGCTTCGTGCATGGGGAGGCAAAGCGGAGAATGTTAAGGCTGCCCAAGATGAATTACTGAAGAGAGCCAAGGTAAGTCCTCCGTGAAACATAAGCATTATACATAACTTTTTCCCTCCTGATCTATTTTTAATAGTGTATAGTAGTGAATGAGCTTGTGCACCCTTGCATGATGTTACTCATGCAGAGATTGTTAAAATTAGGAGAAATCCTGTGACTTTAGTTTTGTTTTACATAGATAATTTTTCTTAGTTATGAGTTCCACTAGTTCCTGCGTTGTTTTCCTACTTCTTTCGTTTTTAGCGTACCTCTGTTTCTCTTAACAAAAGACTTAATCAGAAACATAACTTTATCACCAAGTATCCGCTTTTGTGAATGTTCAAGCATCACTACATGCAGACACCACTAAATTAACAGTATGTATCTACATTTGAAAACAGCACTTAACTGGACGTAAGTTCTCAGTGACTTGTACTTGCCTCTTCAAACCTGCGTTTGTAGATGAGTCTATTTTGCTAAATGATGTCGTTTGAGCATCATTAAAAAACATCCAACATCCAATCAAGACTAAAGTTTCAAAGTCTTATCTAAAAAAGGATTTTAAAAAACGAAGCATAGTCTATTACAATGCTGTTGCAGGTATGCGTTTTTGTAGGTAGATACTTTTTGTTCAGTGATGTCCAATTCTCTTCACTTTCACAGAGCACAAAAAATTCATCACATGCATCCCGAATGGCTGCACCCATTTCTGCCCGAGTAAGCAAGTGAAAAAATTTCAGGGGTACCGATCGCATTATAATTGTTGTGTCTCCTTAAAGGCAAGATCAAAATTTTGACCTGCAGTATGTAATTTTGGTGAATTTTTCACCACATTTTGTGATGGAAACCTGAAATACAGTTTTCTAATTTTTCACCGAATTAATAAAATTGACCTAAAATTCTAGTTAATGCCCAAAAATTCAAAATCGTATTTGAATCATGAAAAAATCCAAATTGAGGCCTTACTTGTCAGGTGTAACGATTGAATCTGACGACCAAATTCTGCATTTTTTGCATGTCTTCTGTATGCTAGTACTAAAATCTTTACAGCATGCTTTGATAGTATTCTTGAATCCCGATTTATAAAAAGAGCCGTCCCAACAGAACAATGTGTCTCCTCTGAGCTTCAATGAGTATCTTGAAGACCTCAGGCTTGAAAAATCTGTTCATTCAGTCTCATCAATATCTGAAGTTTAAAGTTTTTTGTTCAATATACATTGAAGGGACGTGAAGTGTACTTTTAAAGCCCCACTAAACTGGTCCTCCAACTTCACCAAGTTTTTCGTGTAAACTGCTCCATAAAACATGGCGAGATAGCCAATCAAAGAGTTATACAATTTGCACAGACCTGTTTTTTTGAGGGGNGGGGGGGGGGGTCCTCGTTGCTCTTAGAATTCCACTGTCCATTCTCAAAGATCTATACCGCCTGCCAAAGTACAAAATCATGTTTCTCCATTTGCCATGTTGCAGACGTCATGTCATATTTTGTCCGAAAAACAAGTCAAGGTAATTTCTCGAAAACTTCCTTGATTTTTCTCTCTGTTAATAAAATACTCTGCATTTATTTCAAGTTATAAAGTTGACCTCTTTCTCTTCGAAAAAATAAAATATGAGGTGACATTTTGAAACAATGTAATGGAGATACAGGATTTTGCACCTTGGCCACAATATGGGTTCTGAAAATAAGATTTTCCAGCATTCAGCTACTACAATTTCGATTTGAAGTTGAAGTACCGTTTTTCAACCTCATATTCGATGTTAAATTCAATTTTTTCTCTTTAGAAGGTATAGATTTTGCAACAACTTGAATTTACTCCAAATGAATGATATGAAAAGAATAAAGTCTTTTCTTACGAATTTTAGTGGGGGAGGTTTTTTTTTTCAGTTTTTTTTTTATGGATGACAGGTCACTTTTTATATTCCACCTGATGTATTGTACTGCATCGTCTCAATTTTTCATCTTCATTTTGATTTGTAAATACTTTCAGGCTAATGGTCAAGCTTGTCTTGGCAAATATGTTGCGGGAAGTATCCCGAGCCTTGCCGCAGCCAAATCCAATTTTGTTGCCAGTCATGCGTATTAAGAACCCTAGCTTGGTGTCTGTTCCTGATTTTAAATATGCACCCCGTTTTTATTGGTTATGGTTTGTTTTGTCTTTGCTTACACTTCACACTCAGCTTCATAGTAAATGAATGTGCGTTCACTTTGTCTGATAAGATTGTTCAAGGAGTTCAGTACTTTGCCAGTAACGCTGAAGGTAAATCTAAATGATCCAGGGATAAAAACTGCTCTGCTACATAGCTAATGTCTTCAAGAACAGTCAACAATCTTGAATTTAAAATTTAATATAATATGACATGAAATTTAGGAAGATCTTCTTGCGTTTATTAGAACAATTCAGGAAGTGGATGTTGCTCATTGACATAATGAGTAAGAGAAAAGTAGCAGTATGATATCTCTCTTTTACACATCATTCAATGAGCAACGTTGATTTTCTTAATTTACCATACTTTGTAATAGATATTCATAAATTTGATGTCATATTTCCCACAAGTTTTGCTGTCATATGTTAAGACCTTCTTTTTTTCAAAAAAAAGTGTTACCATGATAATTATCCCTTCTTCAAGACATCAGTCATATAGCAGAGCAGTAAAGCAGCAGTTGAGATTCGCACCCCGTTCCACATCTGGAAACATTTCGATTCATCTTAAAGGTGTATTGGAATTTTACTTACCTCCGCTTGAACTAGTATCCAGCAGATCAGATGAACGCATTTCAAGCTGTTTTCTGATGGCACGAGTGGAAGCTGAAATGATGAGTCTTGAACTCATCAATGGTAATGAAAATTGCACGAAATATGCAACCCCACATCATTGATGATGTCTTTATTCATGAGTTTGGCCTCTGTGTGCTACTTCAGAAAACGGCTATTAGTGTCCTTTTTTGAAAATGCACTGCCTTGAGAGCTTTGGTCATAAATTGATAAAGAGCCTCTGCACTAAGTCCTATTTGCATGCAGATATAAATATACGACAATAAGTTGAATCAAAGAGTAGTAATTTGAATACAATAGAATTTAAAAAACCTTAGGTATCTGAAATAGAATTTTCAATGAAAAAAGTAAAGCTTTCTGTAAGCTTGTTTTACTTGACATGTAAATTTAAAACTAATGTCCCACAGAAATTCAAGAGCTTGGGTTTTCAAAATTGGACAGCCTTTTGTAGTTCTGCTGTTTCTCGCTCCATCAGCACTTATTCTATCCTCTGAAGCATGGATTTGAGATAGTAGAGTAAATTTCATCTTAATTTTTAGTTTTTTAATCACATTAGTTTTTTTTTTTATTTGTTGTAAAAAGCTAATTGTTTTGATACAGAGAAAAGTTTAGGTCAATTATTTTTAACCAATGGAAATTAAGATCACAAGTTGAATTGACTTACAGTTCATGCAGTTGTATCATTACTTCACAAATTCTGAAAACACCTTGAAACTCACTCACAAAATATAGTGTTTTGTTAGTTATAATATCACCATGATACAATACATACAAAGCATAAACAAATAATATTGACAAGAATGTAGGTAATTCATTCTCACCTAGTTTACTGCCTTTGTAAATAGCATTGCACCTGCCAAAGATTGCTGTTGTTTTGTCACTAAATCATTTTTGTTACTGTATCTCCCCAAGTATTGTACGCAAACATTTTCTCAAACTTTTTAGCTCTCAAAATGGTGGTATGTAACACTTTGTACTATCCCTGTACATAACCAGCAACATGAGTTCTGACTGATCTTCATGATTCACTACCTTGTGCTATTGCACTGCAGACTAGACAAGTCCCCCCACTAATTGCCGCTTGTTTTGATTTTACACTAGCTGTGTTACAGCGTGGTATCTATTTCTTTTGATCCTATTCTTTTCCTCAGGTGACTCTCACCTTTTTTTTCCATGCTAAGATCATTCACCACGAATTCCGAGCTTAAAGTCGTTCGGGATGCAGAAATCACGGTCAATAAGCAAAATGTCACTAATGACAGTATTCTTGAAAAGAGAGCCCCCCCCCCCCTGACATTTTTTTCAAAGGGCCCGAAAAAACAGAATGTGTATTCTAAACGTAAGCATACAATACCTGGGTAAATACAGTGTTTTTTATATCTTTGATTTTTTCCTTTTCCTCTCTCTATTTTCTCTTTACTTACTATCATTTTTTTTTTGCTTTTTTCCTCCGTTTTATTCGGTCTTTCACCTCTCCCTCTTGCTCTGCTTTTTTCTCTAACTATCTGTTCTTTTTTTACCGTGCTCTTTCTTACTCTTCATTTTCTCTAATTTACTTTTTCTCTATTTTTTCCTCTGTCTTTCTTAATCTTATTTTCTTCTACTTTTTTCTTTCTTTTTCCTCTTTCTATTTTTTTTTCACCTCCTTGTTTTCACCTCCTTTATTTTTTTTCGAAAGGACTTTCCCACTTTAGGAAAAAAAAAATTAATTCTGAGTATGTAGTCTCATTTTTTAAGCCATATTACTTTTCTTTGTATCCTTGTAAAATTTTTAATCACACGTTTATCACAAATAACAAGTTGCCAAAGCTATCCCTATTGATTTCAGTTATCAGATTTCCTCTAATAATTTTCTCATCTTTACAGGCTAATGGTGATGCGGCACTCGGAAAATATGTTGCTGGATCAGTCCAAGGACAAGCTGGCGATGCATCTCTGTTCATCCAAAACCATGCATACTAAGCAAGTCTGGTGCTTCAAAAACGAAATTCAAAAGTTACCAAGAACATCTAGAATCCGCAATCTTTTTTCAATCTAATTTATTTTTAATAGTCCAACCCCTCCCCTTTCAGGAACAGTCAAGTTTTAAAAATTTTAAAATTTTGGTTTTGTTGTAAGTATTATTTTATTCCATTGCCATCTTGACTCTAAAATGTGATCCAATGTGTAAATTCCGAACAAATATCTCATAGAATAAAGCGCTGACCGTACCGTGGCCTTTGTGATGACTTGATGTGACCTTGCTTCAACTTGGTCCAACTCGGCAATTTTTAAAGAATAGCTTACGCTTGAATATTCAGTCCATGGGTGTTGAGATTGGTGGCTCCATCGATCAATATTCTACTCTACACGTATATTACTAAGACCTATTATAAGGACCTAGTTTTAAATCTCACCTAATATTGTAGTCATAATCATATATATTAATCAGTGTGCTATTCTTAACTTTAAATTTTAAGACCATCTGAACATCACAAAGGCAGAAATGTGAAGTTTATTCTTGAGTTTTCAAAGTTGTACATAATTTTGATATTTTATCTATCTTAAACATATTGTTGAGTAAGTCTCTTAATTTTATCCTATATGTGTTTGTGTATTTGTTGCTACATGTTTAATGTTTATCTTCTATTCTATCTCAGTATATTTATTCACAAACACTTCACAAAGGATTATGAAGTCATCAAAATGTCTCCCGAAGATTCAGTGATGACTAGAATTTCCCCCAGAAATAATAATGGAAGATTAGAAAAGTGAAGTAAAATGAACGGTTAACACCGACGAAAATGTCTGTTGTCTTGTCAAAAGAACTTCAAATAAAAGTCATTTTACTGTGAATTCCAACTCTTATTCATTCATTACTCTGTCATCTCCTGTGGTGTGTTAGGCTTAGAAGCTGCCCTATCACCATCATCAGTTACATACAATAATTAGGTAAAAATCAGTCTGATATAGGTGGTGTTGGGCTATCATAAATGCCAAAAGTATTCTTTGTTGAAATCTGAAACAGAAGATGTTCTTCAGAAACAGACAGATCTGCTGAAAGTATGTACAGAAAAAAAATTATTTTCAATTTAACAGAAATATTTTTACTTTCTAAGTATCAAATATGTTTACCAATGATACTTCGTAAGACAAACCAAAATAGAACTTTTCACTGTTTGACTTCCATCAAGAGCCTAACTTGTGTTATGCTTTGCATAAGAAAATATCGATTATTTTAACTTTCTTTAAAATATTATTAAGAATCAATCATTCGTTTCGTAGAGGAAAATACAAAGAAAGATCAAAATATTCCTCTAATTAGCTCAGCAGAACGTATCATCACTGTCTGTTCAGAAATTTAATTAACAGCAAGACTTGGAGAGTCTTTCCTTCAAAGGTCGAGATAATGGGTCTGTTGTATCATATAAATACACTACACCCAGGTTAAATTGCACGAAAATCACGTTAGGCATGTCAAGAAGGTCTGAAATCCATTCCTCAGTGCGCAATCTGCGTATTTTGCGAAACACTTTTTCTCAGTCACTGCCGACCAGGTTTGCACAGACAGAGGAGTAAGAAAAACTGACTTTTTTTAAACACAGAATTTCACTAACTTTTTATATTGTATGATTTCAATCATATTCAAGCGTTTGTTTCCTTTTTCTTTCTTTATTTTGCAAAAACAAAAGCTTTGAATGAATTGAAATCTTATGCAAGGAGAGTTTAGAACATGGATATGAAAAACCGCCCGCATACACTGTGAATTTGAAAAAGAGTGTCACAAACTATGCAGATTGTGCAAGGAGTGGATTTCAGACTTTTTTGATGGAACCATCGTGATTTTCGAGCGAATTTACCCTACTTAGAGGTATTCAGTTGGCTGTATCTCATGCATGCGACAGACCCATTGAGGAGTTCTTTTGGACAGCGAAAATGACAAGTGTGAAAAGAACGCTAAGGAAAAATTCTGATGAATCGGTCTCGATAAAAATTAATGAATTCTTAAAATTTTAAAACAGTATTGAACGGCTGAAGAGAAATATTTCAAAGTTACCTGGCACTTTACAGTAAGGAAAGCTGTAAATTCAGTTATTTGTGCGAGGTGTTTACAGCGAACTACTTTCGCACCTCCAAAAAATCACCTACATCATTGTTTCTAGCAGTCTAGCCCAAGGTTGACTAGGAATACATAGGAAAACTAGTGCTTTGTATTGGAGGGACATTTTCACGAATTATTTAATGAGCAAAGAAAAAGAAAAAACCGTTTCAAATTACCCCTAAATGGACCGCGTTTAACAGAAAGGAACCAAGCCACATCAGCTATTGCCAAATTTTACTGTGCAATTTAATTTTTTACAAGAGAACATTTCTATGGATTTCTTTGAAAATTTTAAGGAATTTGCTTCGTACTGTGGAGAAAATTCGCTGAAATTTGCACGAAAACCCGCACAACCGTTTACATGTAAGAAATTGAATTGCCAAATTAAATTTGGCAATAGCTGATGTGGCTTGGTTCCTTTCTGTTTAACGCGGTCCAAATATGAGTCAAGCCTTCTCACACTACTATAGTAACTATCTTCTAATGCACAAAAATGAGTTAGAAGAACGTCCTCCCTACTGGAGTAGCCACTGTCTTTTAACATTTCCTCTTGTGCATTTTTCGTGAAAGCCCTGTCAACTTTAGCAAAAGTTCACGGAACTTTGCGCGAAAATTAAGATCTGTAAACCTATCTCTGTGTGGACGAAGCCTTTCATTCATAAGAAAAGAACGAAAAAATTATGAAAGAATGAACATGAATGTAGTTTAATGATTTTGATTTCCGCCACCGCGCCAACCGCACTGTGCTTGGCGCAATGCGTGAAGTATCCCCACAATCTTGTAGGCGCTATGCGTTCCACGCCGACCGCTGCAGGCTGCTGACCGCCTAACGTTTGACGCAATCCGTGAAGTATTCACGAGGTCTTGTAGGCGCTAATATGTGTTTCATGCTGACCGGTGCGGTGGCGCGGCGCGCCGAGGGCTTCTCCTTTAATGAAAGGAGTTGTCTCTTGTATCACCGAAAGACGAACAAATTAGAAATTACTATACTTCAACTCTCAGGATATAAAGAGATTTTTTCGCCTTTTCTCATTCGCAATTTTTTTTTCTGAACCAGATTTTTTTCTTGATACCTACATTTGAAAAAATTACAACATTTGCCGCCATGGGTTGCGGCCCATGTGGCCACCCCCTAAATCCGGCCCTGCAGTTTACTAAACTGATGCGGTCTCTATGGTATACCTTGTTTATCCGTTTACAAGGTTTTTCCAGGGACACGTGAACTGTGGGAGTACACATTTTCAAATTGCATTAAAATTCAGAATTTTGGCGTAAGCAAGTACAAATTTTGTGTATGGGTGCCTGAGAATACGAAAAATCAGGAAAGCCGTTCTCCAGAAAAACCACATACATATATGGCCATACGTACTAATTGAAAAGAATTACTCAATTCCTGGTTGTCTGATAAAAAGGTGGAAGATGATTGATTTTTTACCTACAAATCAGCCCTCTATTGCATGAGTTAATTTTGGATCACTGATTTTGAAATAAAAACAATTTTTCTGAAAGACCTTGGGAGAAAATGAGTCTCGATTTTTTTCTTTTTTTCGGGAGGGGGCTGTTTCACCTCAAAATGGCCCTTGAAAGCGGTAGCTGCATAATTATTACATCTCTAATTAACAAGTAAAAATGAATAAAATTTAGAATATTGTGAGATGTCGTAAGTTTAATGGAACAAGAACTTGGGAAAAGAACTTCTCTCTGCTACATGATGTGGTAACTGTGAAAGCATACATCTTCATTTTCACAAAATGCTGGAGTTTAAGAGTGGATTCATGGGTATTCGCACAAAATTTTCTGTCAGAACTCTCCTTAAAATCTAAAGTGACAAAAATAACAACAAAAGCAGTCTTATACGAAAATTTCTTGTTCAACCTCTGCTGCTGGCTCATTTCACTGTGTGTTGATCCTATGATCTATTAGTTCCTTCGTATTCAAGCCAGTATTTTGGAATGGAGCCCTAAGAGGAAACCAGGGCTGTTACGCTTAGCATTTGCCACATGGAACGCTTCACTCTGAACAGAATTTATTTTTTGGTCCTTAATTCAACACTTATGACACCTGATATTTTAAGCCCTCATACTAAAAAACATTATTATGGCTGTGGAGAGTCGATGAACAGGACAATTTCTTGTGAGATGTAGTGCTATTACTTAATTACTAAAAGAGGTATGCTGTATTCATAAAGATATGGAGAACTTTGACCGAGACCAAAAATGCTTACTGATAGTTTGCTAACGACCACAACAATTATCTGGAAAAAGAGCAAATAGTGGGTTGATTTCCTAAGTTAATGGTCCAGATCGGGTACCGGAACACCGCATGCTCATCACCCTTAAGATATTTTAATTTCAGATTCCCTGGCTCTTAAGGAAGTTTCAAGTTGCCCAACTGACGAGATTTAATAGAATAATGATAGAACTTCCTGTCTGAAACTTTTTCTAACAGTTCAACAGACCATTTTGACAAATATGAATCTTTAGTGGACTGCCATCTCCAAACAGAATGGGCAGTTTCCGATTCACACAAAATGAGTGTTGCTTCCTGCAGGCTGATTGTTCAAATTTATAGACAAAGCTATAGACGAAGAAGACAAAAGGGATATGGACGGATCCTATTGGTGGAAGTGAGAGGTTAGAATGGACAAAGGAGGTAAGTAATAGACTAACTAACGGCAACTCACAAGAGACTCGATAGTTAGTCCATCATTTTCTCCCTTAGTCTATAGCTTTGTCTATCAATTTCAATAATCAGCCTGCTGGGATGCATTGAAAATGTCTTAATTCAAGAGAAAAATTGCAGGTCTTTTGAAAGGGAAAATCTTGAGATACTAAGTACGTTTCACCTCTCTTAAAGATCTGTCTTAACTTTCATTTCTGAGAATAGTAGAACCTTGATTATCTGACTATAAGTCATTAACGGATTGTTGGACAACAAAAATGTCAGGTGATTCAAAGTTACATGCTGCCCCCCTTCTCGATAATATTAGGGACCAAATATATGCATACATGCATCAGATAAAAAGGTGCGAAAGTTTGAAGTAACATACGCATGATGTTGGGTGAAAAAAAGGCATTATTTCCCTCACTGATTTTACTATTTCCGGAAAAAATTGGAAGATGGTTAAAGAATTAGAGATAAATATTGTCAAATAGTGCAGGGATTGGGTGATGGAGCGTCCGACAATCAAGCTTCTACTGTATTCATTTCTTTCTTCATGAGTTTATCTTAGATTTTCCCCGGTTAATTGGTGGTCATCATTAATATAAGTAAAGATAATAGGGGCTGTGGATACCTGCCACACCCTGCAGTAAATTTTAGGGCTTTTCTTAAATTCATGAACGCAATGGGCTGGGATCCTCTATGGTTTGGACCAGTTCCACAATGTTCCACGGGGAACAAAATTGGAAAGGTGGTTATCATAGTGGTTAAACATTTGTTTACGTTTCTTTGCACAATTCTAGCTTCACAGGTTGGGATTCGGCAAAACCGCAATCTGAACCCACCTCAGAAGACCGATCCAAGCATTCCACTGGAATGCAAGGAAGGGCCTGGACTGCGCCTGTGAACAAGGATAAAAAAGGTTTTTTGGCACGTTCCGTAGTGATCCTCTGTGGTTCGGGTAAAAAAGGCCATTTTGACTGAGAGGAAGGAAGTATGAAGCAAAAGAACAACGGATTAAAAAGAAATCAATATATTTTATAAAAAACAAGGGTGATCACAAGTCTAAAAATTCATCCTGTGGGGGAATTGTCTGTTCTGTAGTCGGAACATGCTTGAGAGGTAACCGTAGATGAATTTCTTGTCCTTGTGTTTCTTGATTACTTCTAAGATTTGGTTGTCAATATATTCTTGATCCTTTTTCCTCTGCTCCGATGGCTTGTATTTCTGGGGAATAGAACACAAAAAAGCTCAAAATTTGTCTTTAAAGCTCCCTTGGAGCTGAGATCATAGATCAACGAAGCATGGTAATTGTACGAGATGCGAAACCTTACATCTCAATTTGCGTTGTAGCAAATTTCCTATTACAAATGACTTCTTTTGATGGCAGACAGAAATTGATTCTTGTGGTTCAGCTAAAAATAATAAGACCAGTCCAAACAGCAACTCTCTGCATTCAATATTAACCAGGATTTCACGCTTTGAAAAATACGGTTTATGATTTCATCAACTGCGATAGCGAAACCCTTGGTTTCTCCCACCTTCCTTTCATTATTCATATAGACACACATTTGCACTGGTTACCCAACGTAAAACTCAGATGAAAGCAAGATGGAAGAAACCAAGGGTGTCACTACCGCGGTGGATGAACTCATAAACAGAATACTTGAAAGCGCGATATCTCTGTTATTACTGAACGCAGTGAATTGCTGTTAGGACAGATCTTATTATTCTTAGCTGAACTACAAGAATCGAGTCAAAACACAATTAGGAGACCAACGCAACTGACCCATTTATTTCACTATGTAAAGTTTTTTTGGCCACTAATTAACAGGTTTGAGGATAAAGACGTCATCAATCTTTTTCGGGTACATAAAAAACCACATTGTCTTTTTCCTATTCTTTTAAGAAAATTATAAGATCAATGGTTACTGAAAGAAATACTTAAACAGGGCGTGTAATTATTGCTCAATATGGAAAATCCTGATGAAATCTTGATTTTTCCTGACTTTTGACAGCTAAATCCTGAATTCATAGGCTTTCCAAATCCTGATTTTTGGCGGAGAAAAATTGGCGAATGTAATTTCACAAAAATAGCTCGATAAAAAAATCTGATGGGACGGCCGACTTTTCTCAAATCCTGATTTCACAACCGATTTTTCCTCAAATCCTGATTAAATCGGGATTAAATCCTGATTGACCTCAAATTCTGATGAAAATCGGGACAATCCTGATGCTAGACACCCTGTTAAATGATAGAACGGAGCATTTTAAGAGTTAAACTCATTACGAGCAAATTTTCGTGGTGTATTTCTTTATTTACATTTGAAGGGTGAAACTCTAGTAAGAGCCTTTTTCAAAGGAATAGAAGAAGAATACAGAGGACATACCTGTTCTTCACTAACGAATAATTCTCCTTCTGTCTTCTTAGTCTCCTTCTTAGTCTTCTTTTTCAGCATATTGATGCGACGGAAATATTCGTTGTTAATGTGCTTGGGGATCCTAACTTTACTGATGTCCAAACGGGTGCTCGTTCCAATGACATAGTTTTGATGCACACGCCTAATTGGACACTTGTTCAACTTGTGAGGGCCAGTTACAAGAAGGAGACCATTGGACAAGGTCTTCAGGAGGATCACTCGCTTAGCTGCGGACAAAGAAAGTATGATCAGAATACATTGTATAAATAATTAAGAAACAGAACAAGGGTTATGAGGACAGACAAAAATTTGAGCACTTTCAGGACAAAGGGGACTTTCAGGACTATATGCAGATGACACTACGGTGCTCTCAGCTGCCCCTACCTATAAAGAAACAGTTAGCAATTTGCAAAGCGCGTTAAGAGATATTGAAGACTGGACCGATGGTGAAAGAACTGTCTCAAACGCTTCAAAGTCGGGAAACGAAGTCTTCACCAATAGGAAATATGTGTATGAACCTTTAGTTTTAGACAACACACCTATCCCCTTTGCCAAAACAGCAAAATATTAAGGACTTACGCTTGACTCTAAATTAAGATACAAACAACATATCCTAAATAAAAGAAAACAAATTGAAATCAAGGTACGCAAAATGTTATGGCTATTCGGACGCCGCTCCAAATTGAAACTGCAAAACAAAATCCTTCTCTACAAAACAATGATAAGACCAATATGGTCTTATGCGTGTCAAATCTGGGCCTGCGAAGCAAAGTCAAATATAAAACAAATTGAAGTAACTCAAAATTTAACACCAAGGAAAATTTTAAATGCTCTGTGGTATCTCAGTAACAAAGATACCCGTGCGGAACTGGGAATCGAGACAATCGAAGGCTACATTAGTAGACTGTAAAACAGGTACGAAGAGCGCCTGTCCTCCCATCCCAATTCGGAAGCCCTTGTGCTCCTTGATTGGGCGGGGGATATGCGCCGACTAAAGAGAAGAAAACCTCACAATTTAGTCACCCCAGACTTCCTTAAAATTTAACTCTGTGTATGTCATTTGTGCATCGCCGATACCCGCCTTTGTCGGCAGAAATATTTGCCCGCAAAGTTCCTATTAGCAGTTGGAGTCTTAAATTATTATGTCTTGATAGCTTTTGACACTTTTGCACCCTTCCCTTGTCATTTATATCTTTTTTTTTAATTTTATTTGTTTATTTATCTATTTGTTATCCTAAACCTTCACTTCACTTTCTCTCAATTTGCTTACCAATTTTTGTTTATTTTTTATCTGTTAAAGTGGTTTTTATTGTAATACTAACTGATACATGTTAAGTTTAAATTTTTAAAGACCCGTAAGGTCTGAAAATGAGTTGTAATTTACTTTTCTTTAGTTACAAATAAAAAAAAAAAAAAAAACTTGTGTAAAAAAAAGGATGAGGAGAGCTAGCGATATAAAAAAAAAAAAAAAAAAACGAATCCTCACCTTTGTGGAGACCACTGAGAAGGATCAGAACAGAGCCTCGCTTCAAGCTGGGACGGAACCTTTTCAGATGATAGTTCCTAGTTTTGGCGCGCTTCACCTCACGCCCGCTACAAAGGAAACAAAAAAAAAGACTTGTTGAAGAAGTGTTTGAAGAAAATTGTTTACAATTTAAAAAATATACTTAAGACCTTAACTTAGTTCATGCTACTGGAGCTCTTCACACTCAAATTTCTCAAATCTCTCATAGGTCGAGATGAAAAATTACCACAATTTTCAGGTGTTTCATTCCTTGAGAATTTAGTGAATATTAGAAAAGTGGTCTTGATTTCACTGAGAGATTCAAATGGGAAAAAATCGAATCAGTTTAGACCCTTATTCCAATTCCTTTCTGACCACAAGAGCTGGCAATTTTCCTCAGGGTAACAGGTAGTCAGGTAAGATTCCTAACAAACCAAAAGGCCAGTTAGTCCGCTCTTCTTGCAGATATGCAAGGGCACCGAAGAGTGTTTTGACTTCATAAAATATTTCATGTTCTTCCTTATCTGGTCTTCTTTCTTGCACCTTCCTGTGATTGATGGACTTGTTCTTCCCGTACATTCATTCACAGATATTGCTGGGTAAAATGGAATAGCCTGAGGCTTGAAAGTTTTCAGTCAGGGTTCAATCCTAAGAGATATTAGAGGGATCGGAACACAAGGGTGGGAATTTTAGTTAAATCAAGGATGAAGCCACTACACTAACCTGTTGTAGATGTTAAAGACCTTCTTTGTTTTTTGAAGCCAGACCTTATGGACTTTGCCTTTCTTGGACTTGTACAATTTGTATTGAGGACTCCTCTTTTCCAACTGAGAAAAACAGATGAAAATTAATTGCAAAATAAATGAACAAGAAAATAACTACAGTATAAAGAAATTTTGGAAAGCCTCAGCTTATCAGTGAAAATGTTGGGATGCCTTTTAAATAATCCAGTATTTTCTTCAATTTACCGTCACTTGTGAGGGGTTTCTTTCCTCTGATTTAAGGACATTCTTTCAGACTGCGGGCCAATCATCATAATTTGGTGTTAGGCCTGTAGATACGACTAAGATTAGTGGGCTATCTTCTTCCGTCCACTAAGATCCGCGACGCAAGATCCTAGTCAAGCAAAATGGTCTACTCAGCAGCTACCAAGAAGGTGCCTTTCACTGAGCAATTAGTTGGCTAGATAAGGAGCTTGTCACGGATATTAGTCAGACAAACAAGATAGCCTACTGATCATATAGCTTCGTTCCCTCTTATTCTTGCCTCATTCACCAAACTAAAACAAAAATTCCAAAGTCGAGCCGTGGACAAACTAGACTGGAATCAACAATTGCTTTTTCCTTGACGTTCTTTTAGGTAGAAAATTAGGCAACAGTAAACCTGAAGTTTTGTCTGTAAGTATGTTCTTCAAATTCTAGGGTAAACTCACAGCAAGTTCAAATGATTTAGATGCTTTGGTTCAATAAATAAATAAATAAATAAATAAATAGAAAAAAATATAAGACATGATAGTAAATTAAGCAATGTGAATTGCAGTTTAGTGCAGATTCCAGTTGAATCTATCCATGCAGTAAAACAAGGGTACTAATGAATACCCTTTGCAAAGAATAAAAACTATAAGTAATGGAAAATCCATTAAGATAAAGAAGAAGGAGAAGAAAATAATGCTGGATACGGACGGATAATGATCAAATTATAACCATCAGCCTCAACAGGATCTCGGAGCGAGCTTGTATCAGATAAATGATCATTAGATAGATAAGCTTCACTCATCACTCAATGAAAAGCTGCCTGAGCCAAGTTAGTTTTGAGTGAAGTAAATATTTTTGTTTCTTGTTATCGTCCCAAATTTTCCTAAAAATTTGACCACCCTTTATTCAACATAGTTTCTTAAGACAGTAATCCTCAATTCAGGGTCAAAGGATTCGTCAGCCATTCTTACAAACAGGAAGTATAGAACTGATCCACCATCTGGCCAACTTGAGATTTCTGAGGACTGCATACAGGAGGGTCTCCCCTCAATACCGAAGACTAGGCGTAAGTAAATTCTCTTTCTTCACATCTAAGTTTTAATAGAGTTTTTAATGAGAGAAGTTTTAATAATCTAAGTTTTAAAGTATCTGTTCCATTTAAAGTCAGAAATATCATGAGCTCAGCTCACTGAGAAATTTCTGTTCATCTATTTGACAGCTACTTGGAGGTTAGGAGTAGGATGGTTGGAATTAGACAGTTTAAAGCAACCTTGAGTTAGGAAAGAGAGGGAAAATAAAAAACATACAGGTTGGAAACCATTCCAAAGGCCATCGCATGCAATACAAATGGATTCGGCGCCGGCTCAATTGAAGATTAAAAGATTATTTTAGGTGATGTTCCTTTCGATCTCCTGAGTAAGACCAATTTTCAAAACATAACTTTCAGAAAAAAAAGGGATCTGGTTTGAAAAGTGCATTTTTCAGCAGTTAGAAACGCATCATCAAAAACAGAAAATGTAGATGATGAAGGCAAGATCCTTTATTCCGGTTCCAGACCAACCAGAAAGATACGACAGGGTATAAACTTGGTTCAGAACAAAAGATTCCGCATCTACGTCTCAGCAACAGTGCAACTTCTCTGTATGATAACACATGATGACTTGCCACAAAATGCGCTTGATAGGCCTGATTTTTTTAAGTCTGGCACATAGAAAGTTTGTTATTAAAAGCCTGTCAAGATCAGGAGATCATAAGGAGCATTACATTGAAAAATCTTGAAATTTAGCCAGCGACGAATTTCTCAGTGTTAAGAGCAATGTCCTTCATGATTCAACCAAAAACATGATGTAAAAATAGAGTAAAATGTAGACGAAGCAGAAGAAAAGGAGCAGTACTGTTTGGGATGATTCTGAAAGAAAATACATTCTCCTTTATTTGAAACTAGCCGTCATATAAGTGAACACATGCTTGCGGAAATTAAATAAGAGAGTAACTGAACTTACAGATCTTTCACGGTCCTTAGTTATTTCCTTTTCGAACTTCTTGTCTTGAATTTTGAACAGAGAAGTCTTGAGGATTTCCGTTAGTCGGGGGTTCAAGGTCTTTCCAACAGCGAGCTCAACGGCTGCTCTGTACTTGGCTTTTTCTTGATGACGCCTCTTCTTACCTTTCGGCAAGGCATTTTTGCTTTTAAGCTGGAAGATGGTTTTCTTTAAACCAGTCGCCTTCTTTGACTTGACCTTCTTGAGTCTGGCATCTAGACGCTTCTTCTCTTTCTCCTTCTGAGCCTTCAGCTAAAGCATAAGATAATAAACAAATCTTAGTTGTGGCAAAAATTTGATAGGATACAGGAAAAACCAGTCTACTGTCTAACATTGATTATCAGAATGAAAAGTTGCTTACAGCATTTGAATTGGTTTCCACTCAAAATTTGCCTTCTTATGAAAAGGCATGCTTTCATAAAATTAAAATTGATGTGCGACTGGAAAAGCAGTTGCTTGTAATAAAAATAAAGTAAGAATGAGACGAAGGAGGTACCTCCATGTCCACAATATGATTTCAATTCTATCCATGTTTCAACAAATCTATAGGAAGGGTACTTAAGAGAAATAATGTCAAGCTGCCATTCAATTAGTAAATATCAATAGGGAAAGAGATAGGATGAATAATCAAGGATGCAGATAGTCCTGGGCTTTTTCATTTGGATAATCCCTAATTTTCCTGAATTTCTTAATTGGGAAAGTGATAACTCCTTTCGATAGCCTTCCTTTAAAACTATCCGTAATTCAATGGTTGTTTGAAGGATTCTGAATGCTTACACAAATGAGCTTTCTTACTTACAACACTTCTCTCAATGACCACTAAATTAAAAGAACCAGTTCAGGCAGAAAGTTTCTGCACTGCTGTAAGTGAGCGTACCAAAACTTTTGCTGTTAATTTCAAACATGGTAGCTGCAATAATTGTTGAATTGTCTCCTTCCTAGATAACTTAAAACTTCGATCCTAAGGTGCCTCCTGAAGCATCACCATCTAAACTCCTTTCTTTTTCACTTCCTTTTCAAAACTTTTACACATGCTTCACAGAAACTTCCTCTGTGCCCGCATTTCTTGAAATCCCCCTTTTCTTGGGCGTCACATGCCCAAAGTGCTCTCAAAGACTTTCAGGCCGACAATTTTTGAGGACAATGAAGGGTCACAAGGCCCCACTTAGAGAGCTCTATTTTGATCGTATGATATAGGCTCAAGATTAGGCAGCTTTGGAAAGTGGAATTTGAAAAGTCTGATGAAATGATAGGAAATACGCAGAATCTGCCCAAAGTTTTGCAGGAACATCATATAAGAAATTATCTACAAAACTAGCACACTTCCAAGGTTCTTTTTGCAGGCTCATCTTAAAGGACTCCACACACTCCGTATGAGAATGTGTGCTCTGTTCAATTTTCAATTTTCTTTTTATTGATTTAAGCTCATCTGTCAATGTTGTTCAAAAGTCATCATTGTGCCAACTTCCATCGAGGCACCATTTTCCCTCAGTCCCTAATTGAAGTTACAATAATTGCTTGAATAAATGAAGGCAGCGCGGCCATTGAAAGTCAAAAAGATCCTTCTATTTTTCAGCACCGGCTGAAGAAAAGGAAAAAACAGGAAAACTTCAGCATGTTTAGGTACCACTATAATGTAGAGTGGTAGTCGTACCTCCGATTTTGCAAACTTTTTCGATTCACCGGGTTTCACTGTCCAAATCGGTTCCTTTCTTCTCTCTCCCACTCTCTTCATTATCACTCGCCAGCAGGAGTTTTCCTTGTTAAAATGCAGCACTGCCTCCATTGATTCAAGTCATTAATGAAACATAAAACGCTGAAAGTGCAAAAACTGTGCCTCCAGGGAAGTTGGCGCTATAATGACTTTTGATCAGCATTCGTAGACCCAAGTTTAAATCAATGGAAAAATTGAAAATCGATAAGGGCACACATTCTCATGAGGAGGGTGTGGGATCTTTCTTTGTACCTTTCCATAAATATCTGAACTCTTTCCATACTTTCGCATCAACCTATCAACAACCGTGCTTTTACTGTCTAACTGTAATTCGTCATAATTGTAGATACTCTTGATTCCTACATAAACTCCTACTTTTCTAGATGTCAGGTGAATTCTAGTATTTTCGGAAAACTATCATTCCTAGCCATGCTTGTTAAGAGTAATTACAAAGAAATATTAGGTTAGGATAATTACCTTTTGCTGCCTCTTGAACTCAGAGCCAGGGAGCCTTGGCTTCACAGCTTTGACTTTCTTTGGGGCCTTGGGTGGCGGCGCCAATACTAGCGGCTTCTTCGGTGGCCTGTTTTTAGCCACTGGACGTGGTTTCCTTGGTGCATCTGAGGCTTTTTTCGGCTTGTCAGCTTTCGGCTTTTTGGCTGCCTTTTTAGCCTTTGCAGCCTTCTCTACATCTGCCATCTGTAATTAAGGTAGAAATGAGACTGGTTAGAAAACTAGGAATTTAATGAATTAGTCATTGGAGTACAAATAGGGATGGTAAGCTGCTGGGGATTGAATGGGTTAATTGAGATTTATAGATAAAAAAAAAAAAAAAAGACTGATCAACATTGTACAAGCATGGATGTGGTGGTACTCTAAACCCAGCATCGAATCCATTCTTCAGATTTAATTATGAAGCCATACTGGAAGAGAAACATAAGAGCTCACTCATGGTGCGTGGAGACAAATATCGATCTCTGCTAAACTCAGAATTGGCACTCCCTAACAGGTTAGAGTTGAAAACAGAATCACATGGCAATATTGATGAGAGATGACATGAACACTACTGGACTTCCGTCTCAATACACAACAAGTGAACTCTTATCATGCTCTGTTACTAAGAGGACATCTTGTTTCCAACTCTCATCTTAAGTGGGGCTACATTAAAATGTAAAAGGTACTGGGAGGAAATGCTCAATTATTTTTCTCTATCTCAGAGGAGAATGATGATCATTCCAAATTGTTGATTTTCAGGGGAATCATTAATAATCTGACCATTAACTTGAAGCTTAGTTGGTGTTAACAAATTCCTTCCAGACATCAGTTTACAAATTAAGAAATACGTGAGGGTACAGTACAATCCACAGGTCTCACAATGGTCAACATTCGCAAGCGTGGTATTTGCAACTTCTGACAGTTGATCTTGCGGACAGAGCCAGAATTCGACTTAATTCAGATGTGAATTTTAATGACTAGATTGAAAAACATTCTACAAGGAAGAATAAATGAGCTCTCGAGCTCTAAGAGCGTTGGGTCACTGCTGGGAAACGGCAGGTTCTGATCCAGAAGTACTTCGCTGTGCTGGAAACAGCCATGCAGCACCCTCATAGGTTATGGATAACACAATTTAAAGGGAAGATCAAGAACCGATGTGGCCTTTCCTGGTTCAGGAAGTTCTTTAAAAAGTTACACAGCACCAACTACAGCAAGCCAAAAGGTGGCAAAAAGAGCACTAAAGGGCGATCGCATTTTCATAATGAAAATGATAGCGGGGCACTAGAAACCACATTTGGGTGACGTTAAAGCGAGTAACCAGGATGAGTAATAATTCATAACAATTGAAAATTACTGAAAGATATTAAAGACTTGAACTTACAGAACCTTATTGAACTATAATCAAAGTAAAAAATAAATGGATTAAAGACTGATGAATGGATAAAATACTAAACTAATGGCACATACCTCGATGGATTCACAAACTTTCCGTGAAGAATGGCAATGGCCGACGGCCGATCGGGGGATGATGGAAACAACTCATCGATTAGCGGCTTTCGGCGTTCAACAGAAACTGGTGGAGGGTTTTGCCAAGTTAACAAACAAATTAGTCTTTTATCAATTACATTTTAACTCTACATGAACTTGACTTAAAATTACCTTTGTGGAACTCGAGCCTACTTTTTTTTGGGCAAATATTCCTAAAATTAAAAGGATCTGACGGCTTGAGCCCCATAAGATCCTTTCAAGATTGCCATTTGACAACAAAAACAAAGCCATTTTGGCAACGTGGTGTTGTTTGCAGTGCGGGTATGGTATTTTGAGGTTATAGTCACACAACACAAATCGCTAATCCGACACATTTACGGCCAATTTTTATGATTCTTTTTCAGCGATCGTGATTTTAGAAATTCTTCGGTGCTCGAGTTTTATCAATAGCTATAATTGTAATGACCTCCAGCAGAGACCGTCTATTGATCGTTGCCAACGAGCAGGACAGTTGCGTTTGCAAAGAAGTCTCAGGTAATGAAGATCAAGTCACCTCAATCATAGAGAATGTTCGTTTACTCAAAGTCATTGAGTCCAGCGATTCTACAGTTACAGATTCTGGTCAGGTTTCTACCGTAAAGCATCTAAATCTATCTAATTGCCAATTAAGAACCATTGATCCCAGTTTGGCACTGCTGACTAATCTCTCGGAACTTGACTTGTCTGGAAACAAATTGTCTGCTCTGCCGGAGACGTTAGTTGCATTAAGGAAACTGCACACATTAAACTTGTCTGGAAATTCTTTTGAAATCACCCCGGATATTGTGACCAAACTTGGCTTTTTAAGGAAACTGGATCTCTCCAATAATCCTTTGAGTAGTTTTGAAGTTTCCTTGAACTGTTTAGGTTCTCTGAAGTGGCTGAATCTAAGCTGCACTAGATTACAGCGCTTGCCCAAATGGTTGTTCACAGACAGTCGAGTCTTGTTGGAAGTTTTAATTTTATCTCAAAATCAGTGTTTCTCTGAACCCATTGATGCGGATGTACTGTATCATTTTGGGCACTCTCTCTCATTTTTCTCGAAATCGTTGAAAGAACTGGACCTAACGTCATGCCGTGCCTCTTCGAAAGACCTTAACATAATTTCTTATTTTGATAACTTACAGTGTTTAAAAATTGGGAACAAGAAAGACATAGAGTACTGTCAGTCCAAGCTGAGGAACTGTATGTGGGATCTGCCACCTTCGCTTCTCTCAAATAAAAACATGTTAGCCAGTCTTGTTTCACTTCATATTTCAGATTCTTCCCTGTCAACTCTCTCCGAGGATATTTATTTATTGTCATCTCTTAAAGAACTAGATATATCGTATAATGAGCTTAATTGGTTACCCAGTAGTTTTCCAAAGTTAATTAATTTAGAAGTCCTCAACTTATCACACAATCAACTCTCATTGCTTCCATGGAACTTTTCTAATCTAGTGAACCTTAAAAAATTATTTGTCAGTCATAATAAATTAGATACCCTACCTGAAGGCTTCGACAAATTAGAACTGCTGGAGTATGCTGATTTCTACTCAAACAACATAGAAACATTCCCGCAAGATGTGATAGAATCCTTAGTCTCCAATCATCTAATAGGGTTTGATTTGGCTTGGAATAACTGTTGTCCATTCTCCTGTGATATCTATCCTCTACTTCAAACAAAATATCGCTCATCATTTGTGATGAATGAAGCCCGTGAGAATACCAGATGTCCTATCATAGAGATTCCAGATAATTATAGTGACTCCTCCAGCTACTCCTCGTATGATGGAAATACACCTCCAATAGAAGTAGAGCATGAGCCCCATGATATCGAGGAAGAGAACTGGGATGACGAGTATTCATTCGATGAAAGGTTTGATCCAAATCTTTCAAATCTTGGTTCACGGCCGGCCAGTGTTCTTTCTACATATGACGCTAGAGGACCTACTCCGCCAGTAGGGTACCACATTCGAGATGACATTGGACCCTTGTATTATCCTCCTTCCCAGATGCCTTTTTGTCCTTCGGACAGCCATCCGCCAAGTATTCGGAAAAGCAAGCAGTCAGTACCTGAAAACTGTCCCCTTCAAATTGACAGCGAACAATTTGAAGATGTGTAGATTTCGAAAAAAGGCGTAAGAATGCTAATAACTTCTTTAAATAATGTACTATTTTTTTTCATACCAATGATTAGACTGTTAAGTTTTTTTTTTCTTTTTGTCGTCCTTTTGCCCATATATTTGAGTACCTTTTCACAATTTAACATTATTTTGGAGTAAACCATCCAATTTCTGTGAATTCTCTTTTGTGAATGTACCCCTACTGACAAAAAAAAAAAAAAAAATTGTCACAGATTGAAATGAGTTTGATGGACTTTGAAACAAGGTCTGGCATCAACTTGCGTAATTTTGTAAGTTATTCAATTCAATGTTTTTAGTCAGTTTAATCCGAGAAATACTTCAGTAAAATTGCCTCTTTGTTCCTTTTCATTGAACACAAATGAACAGGGCCAGTGGCCGAAATCATCGGTGACTTAATAATTTCAGTTACTACAATCCCTTGCAGAATCTCGAAATGATGTCTACACTGTCAGTCATTTGATAACATGACCGTAATGCTATTCTTTCTATCTGTTCCGCCCAAGAAAATTTAAAAAATACTGATCAAATCTGTTCATTCGAAAACGACTCATCTCATTTTTCTCTTAGGCTTTTCTTAATCATCTCTTTTAATCACGATACTTTCAATTTTTACCACCAAAAATTGTATTTAAGATCTCAATTGTATTTTCTCAAAGAGGAAAAATACAAAACACTTTTTGTTACTGAGAGGAAAGATTTTCTAAAAAAAGAGGTTCATGGTTTTTTGGCTGGATAGATTCATCATTCGATTGACTGAATGGGATTAATCAAATTTTATGTTGGAAGATCCCTCTGTACAAATCCATGCCCTGTTTGCAGGAATTAACCATTAAAGCAAGTCCTTGTCAAAAGTCAAAATGTAATAGTAAAAGCATTCATCTTTTTTTAGCTCTGACCTGCCTGACTATTTCTGCTAAACGGAACTATAAGCGCCGTAAGGAGAAAAAGGGAATGGGGGATGGAATGGCGGGTGCTGCGGACCGCGGAGCTCATTCCGTCCTATTCTCACAATGCTTTTCCATGGCCATATATTCCGTTTGACAGAACACGCCATAAGGGATTCTAAAATCCTCCAAAGAAACTCAAATTGGCGCTTAGTTCCGTTCAGCAGAATTACATCCAACTAGTTAATTACTTGCGACAAAAGAATTCAGATTAGCCCTATTTTTATCTTTTCAATCATGCACTGAACCTGATACAGAACTTAATGACTTCTGGCAGATTTGGTGTGCCGTCAACCCTACCAGGGGACCTGACCCTTATTTCAGGCCTGGTCTCCTCGGTGCAACTGTTGCAGGTATTTTTTACCGGAGACCCGTGTCAAAAAAAATTTTCAAGTGTAGGTAATTAAAACTTTCAAGGTCATATGAGGCACTGGATGTGAAAAGGGCACTTCTCGGTTGCAGTGTTTCAGAGTCTCCTCTAATATTTTATTCATTGCAAGGAAAGTGAATGCATCCATTTCACTAAACATTTTACTAAATATTCCTTATGATTCTACAGTTTTCTGTGAAAAGAATTCTGGAAAAATCACCCCTTCAATTCTTCTCCAAGGGATTAATTAGCAACAGAGATTCTAAAACACCGCAATCAAGAAGTGCCCTTTTCGCATCCAGTACCTCATACGATCCGGAAGAATTTTTATGCATTTTTCCTGGAGAGTTTCAACTACACTTGAAACATTTTTCTGACTTTGGTCTCCTGCATCAATTGTGCCATGTAGAAGCATTATGCCCAAACCTAACAGACCTTTAAATAGGTCCAGATCTTCGATTTTGCAGGACTTGGCCATCAACAGTCTCCTACCCTGAGACGTCAAAAGTGATGACCTTTGGAAGACTTAATATACACAACAAAAAGGAAAAAAAGAAACTGTCATCACTTATGAAATCTACCTCTGCTTTTCCTTCCATTCAATGCCAAGAGGTTAAATGGAGCTAATTAAACACATTTTTAGAACAAATTGTAATTGATTTTTATTTGTACAAAACTAACTTAAAGTGAAATTATTTGGAAAATACTGTATTGCTCACTGGCTTTCCTAAAGTAGGGATTCTAATTAAAATACATTTATTGTGCGATTAAGTGTGAAGTCTGTCAAGCGACTGTCAATGCACAGACGCAAATTTTAGTCAAAGGCTGCCTTGCATAAGGTCTTTTCCCAAGTTGCCGGAAAATTAGTGATAGCACTAAAATATCAGAATTTTGCACTACTTTTAGCACCATGTGCGATTAACTATTTACCAACTGATATAAATTAATTTATTCCGCTCTCAACCTTCAAAATGAGATTGCAGAATGGAAAATAAGTCTCCTAATTCAAGAAACATGTTGTTGAAAAAAAGTCATCTTGAGTTTGAAATATTCCTAAAAGTTACTCCATAATGTTCAAAATTTCCTCTTTGTTATGTTTTAATTTGTGATATTCCCTTAATCTTGAATTTTGTATTTTGTGCGTCCAAATCTGATCCTTCAATTCTTGTTTATGAGCTGTTGTGCCAATTTTAAGTATTAAGAAATGAATGGATGTTGTTTATGAGAAAACTTGTATTAAATTGTAAAATATTTCCCCATTTTACAACGTTTATTGGAAGAAATTCAAAACTTTTCATTTTTTCTTCGATGTTCCTAGATTTTGCCCAAGGACAACTGAAACATCTGCAATTCAGTAACCTGGGTGAAATATTTTTATTCTCATACTCTGAAAGAAAATACAAGTATTGGTTACAAGTATACAATTAGATGAATTGATGTATATGAATTTTTCACTGAATTGTAAGTAGGTTAATTTAAGCCTTTGGTTTTTTATTGATTTATATTCTGTGTCCACAGTTCTCACTCGTATCATCAGGAATGTGTTCGATTGACATGCCTTCATAAATTTACTATCTCTCTCGTCCATGTAAAGATTCAGGGCCTACAAGTGGATTTGGCCTATTGGTTGCTCAGTATTTCATAAATTTTCCCTGTAATACTTAGTACATACTTTGATGTTTCTGTTTTTAGTAGCAATTTTATTTTTGAGAGATATATTTTTTTAATGCCAAACAATTGATACATAGTAACACTGTTGTTTTTATGCCTAGTAAAGAAATCAATCTCTTAACACTTTATCACTTTCTCTTCTTTTTATACCCCCATATCCCCATGATAACAGATAATATTCTGTGTGCTGTATGATTTCATAATTTTAAGGGTTATTTTATCCAACAAGCATGATTCATTGCTTCCGTTAAGTGAGGATTTTCAACCAACTTCATATTTCTTGAGCTGAAAGATAGGTACCTTTTTTTTGTCCCAAAACTTCCAAGTTTACTCACCAACTTGGACAAAAAAATAAAGTGAAAATAGGAGAAGGCTGTGTTTGGGAAAAAGTACTTATGGCTCAAATTTTGGAACTAAGGACCAGTGTGTCCAATTTTATGACTACAGGGAGGCAATCTCCAAGTCAGAGTTTAATGCATTTCAAGTTAGATGCTATTTATTCATCACTTATATTAGATCAGATCTAATCTATCATCACTTGGATAGGATCAGATAAGGTCCAAATCTAATAAATATAGAAAATGGACATGTCAGCTTGGACCACTTTAAAACTTTTGGAGTCACCTTAAAAGCTGAAATGTTTAAAAAAAAAAAAATCCTTCTTACCTGCAAGGGGAGCATAAAGAAAAAACCATAAGAAAGTAAAAAAATAGGTAAAGTACAGCTGAGCCTTGATTATCCACGCTTTGAAATCTACAATTTGGATTATCCGCGGTTCGTTTTTGGTGGCTTTTGTCAAAGAATACTAGAATTCTATGATGCAAATTTCTTCCAGAAATGATATTAAAAAAAAAAAAAAATAAATAAAATTAATTTCTCTAGAGGTAAAATCATTCATTTTTAACTAATAATTTAAATTCTCTCTGATATTTTACAATTTTTTTAATTGAGTCACTATAATACAGCTTTTTAAATAATTTTGCTTGGCCTTATTGGGACAAAAGCGATTTTTGAATACTCATGGTGGCTCCGGTCCTGATCCTGCCCATAATCAAGACTCTACTGTAGGAGTAAGTATTAAAGTCAAAAGCAAATGGTTTCTGGATGAGGTACCTACAAAGAGCTCAGTGCCAAAACTTAGATTTTCAGTCGGGAGAATGAGACTTAAAGCAACAAAATTCAATAACATTTTAAGTCTAGTTTATTCAAATAAAAGTATCAAAATGTACAAATAATGATTCACAAAAGAAATGCTAGAGAGAGTTCGATGCTACCTACAGTAATTTCATAGATAAATTGATAGTGGTAACTTAAATTTAAAATATTTAATCATACAAAAGATCTAATTCCTTGCCTAAGAAGAATTTGTACAAGGGGCGATCTTACAGGAAGATAACATTTAGACTTGGGGGAAGGACAAATCTTGGAAAAAAAAATCTGAGTATACATGGCACATAAGACTTACTTTTATACTTGTTCATGTTGTCAGTCTTATCTTTGGGATAATTTTTATGTAAGGAAGCGCTGAGTCCTGTTCTCAAATGTTGGCGATTCTTCAGGTAAAAATTACCTATGAAGTAACTTTTAACCTATAATATGAAGTTAACATGGCATTGTAATGAAAATCTTCAACTACCTGAAACGGTTCCCGCATATGAGATCAGAGACAAAAACTCCAACTCTTGAAGGAACAACTAGAAACGGGTCATTGATAGGATGTACAGCTGAGTGTGAATAAACAGGATCTGATAGTTTCGGTTTGTATCGATGAAAGTAAAAAAAAAAAATACCTATCTTAGTCTGCAATATTTGAAACTTCCAGGAATATTTTACCTTTCAAGCAGAACAACCAATTAAAAATTTTAAAAAAAATTGATTAAATTAAATTAATTGCTTGAGATTTGGTAGTAGGTATTTCTACTATGTATTAATTTTTTTTTTTTACGTTTTCGATATTTTCTTGGAAAGATGAAATAGGAGTAAAATTAGTTAAAAACCACAGTTGATATGAGTACTTTACAAGTTTCATCAGTTACAAAATATTAAGGTGCTATAATAACTTTGAAAACTGTTGGGACTGAGAAATGCTTGACATGACACTTACTTTTCACTTAAAATTATAACTCACTGAGTTTGTAAGTTTTTTTTTTTTGACTGAGAGACAAGATTTTAAATTACAAGATGAGTGATGTTCCGAAGACCTATTGCTAAAATTAAAGTTAAGAAGTTGAGCACTTTTTAATATATATATTGTACTATAAAACAAACTGACTTAAGTAGCCATGCTCAAGATAAATACATACAAAACAATGCCTGAAACTGAGTCCAGTCATTTCAAACTTCATTACTTGCAACTTACAATTAGATACTCCCATATCAGTTTGGGCGTAAGAGCAGGTGCTGAGGCTACTAACGCCTAATGAACCACTTGCCAAGTTGCGAATTTAGGCAATATAATAAACGACTCATCAAAACTTTGGGGAAAACGAATTCAGGAATTCAAACTTTCTGTCCATAGAAAAGTCATAATCTACTTGAATTGAATCGCATGATCACATGACAGTCTCCTTGGTATGGAAATATGATAACCTCCATCTTAGTGCTTTAGCTCAGCTATAGCTCGTTGTTTACACTTTGCGTACATCACAGAATGGAGAAAAACACTGCTTGATTGAAAAGCCAGCCAAAAGTGTTGTAGTGTGCGATTGGATTCAAGTGGACTCAGGTTTTTCTTGTTAGCGGGAAATTCAAATTTTTCATCTCCAATGTTAAATAAAATTGCTAATTTCTTGGTTTCGGAGTTATTTCAGTAATTTTTGTGGCACAAGTCGTGTTTTAAGAGTAATTTTGAAGAGGAATCATGAACCAGAATGCTTCAATTTGTACCTTGTTAAGTGGTCCTGGGTCTATTGATAGTACTTCATGTAATCATTAACTGGTCCAATTCAGAGACTTGGATAAAAACACATGTTAACTTGAAACATTATGAATATTTCAAACTGACATGAAGAGGGCAAAGACTCAACTCAGTTTCAGGCTGAAACAATTTTTTTCCTAGTTTTCCATAGAAATGAATAATATTTATGACACAATATCAAATGAGAATGCATACAAATATTTTTGGCTTAAGTATAATATGTTTGAGTGTAAATATATACATATACTGACAATATGGGCACCAAATAAAAGTAAGATCTTGGAGTCGATGGCTCGAGTATTTTATTAAGTTCAATCAAAAAAGCAATTTCTAGATGACCCAGCTTCAGACGAAGAGCCAAGACCGTAAAAAAACTTAAAAGTACGACTTGCGCATTTAAAGAAAATTCAAATGGAATGTAAGGTCTAAAACCATCATCTTAATATGTATATTTTTAACATAAAAATGGGATTTCCCTAACTTTTGAAACTTACAGCCAGTATACTTCTGGTTTCAGATTGTCATCTGTATTTTGTTATTTAAAGAAAAAAGAGAAAAGTAGAGATCATTCATAAGTTAAAAATAATCTTTTTTTGCAGCGAGAACAGAAAACAAAAATCCTAAAATATGTTAATAAAAAAATTTTCATTAATTTCTAGAGAACGAATTCAGGTCTTTATGTTGAATCTTTTGAGAAACTCAGATCTAAGACCTAACAAGAGATGCAAGTAAAAGGACGTAAATTCAAAAAGACTTGAAAGTGGGTGAGTTTCAAACACAGTAGATGTTAAAAACGCAGTTTGAGAAAAAGAGAGAAATCGGGATAGTAGAAGAAAAATCATAAGAAGACGAAAAATAGAAAAACATGAGAAAAAATTATGGAAGTGTAGAATGATCAGTATTGACTATTTAAAACCTTGGCACCGATTGGATTATTTCATAAGTAAGAATGGGTATCATAAAAATGAATTATCTACAAAAGAGGGTCAAACACCTTAGGATGAAGGAGGCAGTCATTTAAGTTATAAAAATTAATAGTTAGATTTAATTGGGAAAATGTTTAAGCCCTGAGGAATAATGGCCAACTAGGTGTTCCACAATAATGTAGAGAAGGTGAGTACATCACTAATATTTATCTTAATCAACAAAGAGGCAAAACATATACTTTCTCTGAATTGGTCATGAAGTAAAATCCTCTATTTTAAAATTTCAAAGCACTAACGAATTTATTTTTAACAAAACGCTCCTCTAAAGTTCCTACGTCATTTCTACTTAATGAACCAACCCTTGCAAAAAGAAAAGTTCATTTTGAAAATTTAACTATAGGAGCAAGGGATTTCATTTTATATAGAGCCTACTGGAAATTTTGTTCTTCAAGATATTGTATAGATCAGATAGGAGTATTGCGTGAACTGTAAGAATCGGTTCATCAAGCCAGGATTTAAACAAATCAAAATAAGGAATTATTCAGTCAAGATCAGAGATAACATTTTGATCACATTTTTGTTAGACTACTTTAAAAAAGAAAAGAACATTTTCACTTTGGACAAAAAGAATCACCATGAAATTTGAAGAATTATCAGTTAAAATTAGGTAATATCTTACAGGCGTTTCCCATGATTGAAAAATTAAACCTCCCCAAATACAGCCTACAGCTCGCTAAGCCTATGCTTCAAAGTAAAGGACTTTAGAAACCCAAAAGAACCTAATTTACAAAAAGACAAATACAAAGACAGAATTTATGGAGAGGAGCAGAAATTAAGCAAACTTGAGATTAGCAGCATACAGGTTTCCTCGGGTTTTTTTCTTTAAAAAAAAAAAAATTACATTTTAAAACCTAAACAAATTTTTGAGAATGTATGATGGTGTCAGACGAGATCAGACAGTTAATTGACTTAATATAGTAACAGTCAACTTTAGAATGAAAGACTTATCCACCATAATTAAATGCAGAAAGTATGCAATAAAACTAATTAGGACAGAGTGCACGATTTAATTATGAATGGCACTTGCTTAACATACAATGCACTTTTTCCCAGGTTAAAGTGCACCTACAGTTAGTTTTGGTTCAATTACTGTTGGCGGAAGCTTGAGCATACCAGTGAGCAATTTCCATGAAAAATTGTTTAAATGCATCTTAACCAATATTAGGTGATAAAATTGAAGCAGTAAATGTTATGTATTATATCGGGATGCAGGGTTTCTACAGACTCAGTGGGATAAAATTCTCTGACAAAGATATTTCCCTGACTTTCGGCAAACATTCGCTTGCGCAATACTGAAAATGAGTAATGTTCGACATTTATTTCATTGCAAGTACCCAAAACTTGTGAACCTTTTATCTTTAGACATTAGTTACTCAATTGACTAAAATTGCAACCCTCCTTGCATATTCCCTCTATCTACTATTCCGAGTGTGACAGAGGACTGAACTCTGAACTTGACTGAAACTCAGTTCAATTTTGTGGACAATGCTAATGATTTTTCTGATTTCAAGTTTCAAGATTTTTTTTTCACAATTTCCCGACTTTTCCTTGACCTGATGGAATTCCCAGGCAACTCCCCGTTTTCCAGACCTGTAGACACCCTGTGAATGACAATGATACTTCACTGATCAACATAAGCATTCCTTTACCGAATTCTATGCGCTAAAGGCATGTGAAAATCCGGCTTATTTTTTTTATTAGGCTATTATTTCTTATTGGGAAAGAAAGAATATGGCTATTCGTCTTGGTGAACTGTTGGTCTTGAGATGGAGACACAAAGCTTGACAGTGAAACCAAAATACATAATGCCTTTCGGAATTTTTCAACACGATACCTGATTGATTGAACGCCATATTTAAAGTAAAAGAGACCTAAGTTCCATTGGAAAGGGTGCTTAAGTTATCATTGCCTTTCAAATAATGAAATTTAAATAGGAATAGGCTGTCATGTGTATTTCAATCAAATAATAAATAGAAGTTATAATGAGAGAATACATTTTCAATGTAAAATAATGAGTGAAAACAAGACAGGTAAGAAAAAATTATTTTGTGGGCTGGTATCTACTAATAAAGAAATTACAAAAAAGTGAAATGCGTTGGCAACTGAAAACTAGAGAGATTGAATATTGATTTAATGTAGTCTTGATTAAAGCAAGATAAGGAGACTGAGCACATTGTCTTCAAGATCAGTGGATATTTTTTAAACTAAATAAAAGGAAAGTTGAAAGCCAGTCACATTTGATATACCCTAGACTTGAATAACCAAGAAAAGCCAATCAATGTTATGATACTCAATAGCATGATTACAGAGTTAAATAAATAAACAGTTGCATTAAAAACAAAAAATCAAAATAAAGTTGTAAGAAGAAATGTTCTTATTGTTTCTGGCAATTGGAAAAAAAAGTTACACTTGTGATAGAATAGGGTAGTACCTTTAGTTAATTTTGAAGAATAGATCTCTAAATTAATGGATGAAAAGTCTATCTAAAATCGCAATGGTTAAAGTCATCAATAGCATCATTGAAGACTGTAGTCTCCCGCCTTGGTCTCGTCAATCAGACAAGCGCTGATTGCCCTTTGAGCTGTGCGGAGAATACTTGAGTGAAAGAGACCATAGTGAAATGGAATAAATGACTAATCTTAGTTCTTTCATGAACGTGATTTCTATTAATTTGCAAAAGAGAAATTTGACCTTTGCACAGCTGTAATCATACCTTTCCACTCATCTATCGGTACCTATCAACAAACTAGACACAAATCTATTACAGATTCGACTGACAAATATTTTGTGGTTGATAAAGTTTATGTGCTTCGGATTTTGTGTTTCTTGTATCTGTGACAGCCTATTTGTAAAAAAAGAAAGTTTAAAACCATTATTTAAACAAAGCTAATGACAAATTCAAGATAGGTAAATTTGGGTATTTTTTAAGATGATAAGCTATCATTAGGTTAAAAATCATCCAAACTTAAAATAGGAGTTTTTAATCTTCCTCTTCTTCTAAAAAAGGTTCACATTATGATGTTTCCCCCTCATGAAGTTTCTCTAAGCTACAACTGATGAAATTTTGACATATTCAAGTCTCGATGTACTTTTCCTTTGCATTTTTTGTGCGTTCAAATCTGTTGGGTAGTTAATAAAGCAATTTATTCATCTTCCTAAATTGTGCAATATGAATCAAGAGCATAGTTGTGTCAAACTTGTATGCCATTTCTTTAAAATTAACGGACGCTCTTCTGAAATGTTCTGTTATGATTTTAAAAGATGTTAACAATTTATAACATCAAAATTATGAACATTAATTTTGATAAAATAGTAAAAACTTGTTCTGCTTTCTGATTCCATTCTTTTCATACTTAGATTTGATTCAAATATGACACATCAAAGAAAGTTGGCGTTTCAACTTATTACCTTAGTCAGTATAGGCACTGACTCTGTTAAAATAATAAACAGGACCCAGCCTAGCATTGTAGCTTTTACGGATCAAGGGTATTACATATTTACAATACAAAATGTGTAAACAGGGTATCCATAGATATGGGGAAAAAAACCTAAACCTATGGATTGGGGCATCTTATTTGAAACGACAAACGCAAGATTTTACACCAGTTTTGATGACAAAAGTTGAAATTTTTTTTGAAATTTAAATATTGAGTTTTTTTAGTGAGTTTTCAACTGGACCAGTTACAAAGTTGAAACCTTATTTTCCCTCTACAAGGCAGAGATTTTAAAGAAAAAACCTTTCCTACCATGTCTTTGTTTTGAGCCTGAATTGGTTGCAGCCATAGAAGGAAACACCCTTTTACATTTGATACAGCTTACTGTTCAAAATTCATTGTACTAACTAATCTTACTACCAAATAAAAATCACTGCCATAAGTTAAAGTCTATGCAAAAACAGAACAAAGGAAAAGAAAAATTAACTTCCCGTATAATACAGTATGTATACGCTACATAATTAGATAATTATTTATACTTTCAAAAATCAAAATCACAACAATTATTTTACCTTGGGATCGAATTATACATTTACTTTATTCCTTCAAAAAGTGGCCTGTCTGTCAATGCAGCAGTCTCACGCCAAAATTTCATTTATCTCATTTTTTCTTATGCCTAATTTCATTTCTGTTATTAAGCTGTTCGTATACAAATCATTTAAAACTTTTCAAATCGGTGACTGAAAATCATAATTGAAAAGTGTTTCTGAATTATGAATGGAGATGTTGCAAGTGCACTAAATCTTAATCAATAATGATAAAAACATCGAATTCCTTAATGATCTTTTCTTGAGCAGTGTACCAGCTGATTACATAGCATTGGGAAAGAAAAGGAACAGAAAACACGATGAGAGAAATTTTTTAAAAATAAGAGAAACAATATTGAGCTTTACAGTATTTACACATTCTTATCATGACTAGAATTGTTGAAGAAAGGAACTTACACCATCAATTTACGCTCTTTTTGATTCCTTTAAAATGCTTCAAAATGACACAGGAAACTACACCAGAGAGTCTGCGCTGTATCATTAAAACTGTTTTCAACTTTTCTGACAATCTTCATTGCATGTACATAAAAAACTATGTTGGGATTTTTCAATAATTAGTCATTGTTTTACAGTGCTCAGAAGGTACTTTAAGGAGGTACTCAAAGGTATTCAAAAAGCAGATAACGTTCATGCAAAAATGTTGGAAAACAACTAATTAGGCATATTAAGGTGCTGAATATGATGTACAGACACCAAAATTCTCATAGAAAAACATTTGGCAAGTTCTTTTCTAGGATACACTTTGATTTTTTATTACATTACAATTTTTTATTACGTTACAATTTTTTATTACGTTACAATTTTTTATTATGTTACAATTTTTTATACCTGAGAGAATACGTATGGAAAGTGATTAAATCCTTGGATTTCCTAAAATTTGAAGAACTTCTGAAAGGCATTGGAAAGAAACCATTATTTTTGAGGTAAATACACACATTTAGTACAACCTATCAATCGCCTATTTACTCTGATAGAGTTTGACAGAGACAAATTTGGGGAGATTCAGTGAGGAATTGGTTATAGTTGAGGGAGGAGGGGATGTCAACTGACAGGCAAAACATGACAAATTGAGTCATTCTAAGAAAATATTGCAGTTCTCTATACACTTTTCAATTATAGAAATACCATCTGGAGCAAGGGTAAAATTATGATATGATTACATGTTTAAGTTTAGTCCAAATTCAGCTTTTAAGCTCTATCTGGCATTATTCCATTGGCATAATATTTGGGTTGTGTTAGCTCATATCACTTGTTGGCTACTGTTTTTATGGAAAAGAAATGCAATTCTTTCTGAAATGATATTCAATTCTGTCTGTTCTTTTCAGTGGTTCAATTGATTGGATGCAAATAAATGAAAAGTATGAATACAATTAGAACCACACAAACATAGATTCTTTTAAAAAATCCATTCACCATTAAAATTCACCAGAAATTTTCATGAGCCATTTGTGTAATTTCATCAAAAACGAAGAAAAAAGATATAAAATTATACTCAGGGAAATTGAACTTTGACAAGTTTTTTGTGGACTCCTCTCAGCGACAGAAAAAATGTTCAAAGTTTTGCCAATCAGTTAAAAATGCATAATTGAGGTGTAATAGTAACCTGCTGGTACATAGTTCAACTACTCAACATTGAAAAGATCATCAAAATTACAGCTCTGTGATTTTATACTCAGAATTCGAAGCAGAAAATGTTGACATGTTGCAAACATTATCTCCATACGGACTTGCATTGGGGCTTGGATAATGAGATAAATTATTGAACGAGTTGACAGCACCAGAGCTAATAATAGAGATAGTTTCATTTTTGAAACCATCAGGTGCAGCAACTGTTGGAACTTTGGCAGTGGACAACGGTTTCATTGTGTTGTACTTGGGATTACCAAAACCGTTGCTGGCATTAACAGAGGCCGGTCCTCAGTAGAAGTCATTGGCTTCTAGAGTCTTGCATTTTTTGGAGATGGTTGAGTAGTAGTTTTGGCTACCACCTCCATCACGCAACTTTTTGTGTCCGAGGGTGTGAGAATTACCAGGCTCAAGGTGGGAGAGGCCTCGACGTGTTCCTGTTGGGTGCTCCAACGTCCTGAACTTGCGGTTCAAAGTCGCGTACTGACCAGGTTGACCAGCATAGCCTCGTCCCCCACTATTGAAATCCGGCCCTCCGCTCCGAAGTATCCCTCCTCCCCCTCCTCCGCCACTGATGCTAATGTCCCGCCGCGACCCATTTCTGTAAACAAACGCAAATCATAAAATCTTTCGTGACAAAACAAGTTTAGAATTAAATTAAGTTTAAAGGTAGAGACAGATTGTAAAAACAAAATAATGGGTATTGTCCTTAAATAAATAACGAAAACACTCTGTTTTAAAAAGTGCCTTCCATCTAGTCTTAATTCTTGTTGAGTATAAAGGCAGGAATTGGGACTGGATCTTGCAGACATAGTTTTGCTAATTTTTCATCCAACCACAGGATAAAAGGCTCTGCCAATATGCGACAGGAACGATCAGCAGAACATACAAAAAACCAATGAAGATTTGACCACCAGGCAACATATCACATGGGTGTCTTTGTTCCTCAGAGTTTCAACAAGATTTGTGTATTTTATACACAAATCAGTTCTTTTGTTAATAGGAGAAAAAGGGGAGAATAAAACCTATGGTTCATCTTTTGAAGAAATGAGTCTGCCGAATTAAATTGGCTTAAATTATAATTATTATTATTTTTCCTTTCTTTCTTTTGCATAACCAGGCTAAACTATTATGAAACTGATCAAATTTTCAGATGGGTGTAGATAAACACAGACAAAATAATATGGCCATTATTTTGAACATTTTAAAACTTAAATTTTAACTGGTTCATTTTTATTTTTTTATGAGCCTCGATCGTCATGCGGACCAGAGACACTGTCATCTTGAGGAGTATTCATAGCCAAGATGCGAATTCTCACAACTTGCCATAGATCATATAAAAAAAGGTGTTTCTTCATTAAGTTGTGGTACATCAAGTTATTAGCATTAATTGCCAAAAAATGTATTTCTTATTAAGTTAAGTCAAGAGATGAGGGTCAATGACAGCCACCGATATACCAATCTGAACATTGAACACTAGACAAGAAAGGAAGACTTTCTTTATTCTTGCATTTTGTTCAGTAACTTGCAATGAAACTTTAAAACTTGGAAAAGCAATGACTCATGATGAAAGACTGATGGAAACTCAGTCAAGCTGAAAAGAGGTCATTTCATTCAGGAGAATCAGAAGGGCAAGGGATGAGAGGACACGTTTATAAATGCTATTTTTATGATTGTTCAACTCCGTAAAGAAAAATACCGGCACAATAAAAATATTCCATGTTCTAACCTTCAAAATCAAACGAAAGGCAACATGGACAAAAGATTTAAGTAACAAATAGGGTGATTCAAAAGTGCTGCACCACTTCTATAACTCTTAAGCTTCTTGCCATTTTTCGCAGGGATCCCCTTAAAATTTTGGGGGGTCCCAATAGCCGCTCCCTTTGATATTGGAGCACTTACAAAATGTCAAGTCTGTATTTCACTTTGCTCAAAAGTTACAAGGGTGATACCAGGTACTGGTGGTGCAGCTAGGACTTTCAGATCACTCTCTGTAATGAAAGGAAGATGCTTGAAGTCATAAATTTAAAAATTCTATTGAAGCCTGAAAGATAAATTGCCTTAAAATTTTAGTATTGAGGCAACAAAATGAGCTCTGGGCTTCAGTATTTTCACTTAGGCAGTATCTACTCGAAATAAATTTTGAACTTTTTCATTAAAAAACGTCACTTGACTCTTCTACCCACGATACTTAACAAAAGTCAGGTTTAAAATTGAAACGTGAAAAGACCAAGTTTATGCACTCTCAGACTGTGACAGAGGATCCGCCATCTTGCTTCTTACATTTTCTTTCCATGTAAAACTGATGTCAGATTATCTTCACTCGCAGTCTGGAGGTGCATAAGCTTATTTCGCATAGGCTCTACATATGAACTTGTTACTTTTGTTTGGCTCTTATACATTTTACAGAAAAAATAAGATCTGAGATTCTTAAATAGCTGAAATTAGGCTTCTCAGTAGGGAAAAATTTGAATTTTGTAGTGAATATTAAGCAAAATGTGCTTTCTCCAACTTTTTAGCAATCATTTTAGCTGCGTAGTAGGGAAATTTTATCATTAGCAAGATCAATAATAGATATTCATAGAGGTAACTCGCAAAAAAAATCTTTGATCATAAAAAAGTACCAAACTATCTCTTCTCTAATTTCACAAACAGTTCCTAGAGTGTATACTTGAAAGTTTCGGCAGGGCGATTTTTTTCAGAGAATACTGCTCGACTGACACAGCAAATTCCTACAGTTCCAATTTTTAAATTTTCGAAACGGAGAGAGATAAATGGTAATTCACAGAATTTTCGAGACCAATGAAAATTTTTTCCCCATTGATCATGATGCCATTTCAAAATACTCACCCAGCAGCCTGATTGTTAAAATTTTTTGTTTGTTAGGACGACATAGATAACATAGGTTAAAAGGCGGAGCACGATTGGTCAGCTGCGTCTTATCGCTGCTTTGTCTTGCCTATGTTGGGTTGAACTCACGACAAGCCAACGGCACTTCTTATGTTTCTGACAGTATGTCATCCATTCCACCTGACAAAGGCATGGCAAAGCAGCGATAAGACATAGCAGACCAATCACGCTCCGCCTTTTAACCTATGTCATCTATGTCGTCCCAACAAGCAAAAAATTTCAACTATCAGGCTGCTGGTAAGTTAAGTTCTGATCCTTTTGTTTATGCAATAGGCGGTGAAAACAGCAGCAATAATATTAGTCGGCAAGTGGTCAATACGCTAAAATTTATCTGACTATGCTGCACAAGCAAATGGGGAGATTTTCTCCTCAGTCCACTAAATAGAAAAAATATTTTCCCATCGACCAGCCACCTACTAGTATTGGTGCCACCTTCACACTCAATAGAACTCAAAGAAGCGGTCTTGAAAATGCATTTTCCTCAGTACATGACTGGAAAAAGGCATCATGAACAGGAGACAGAAAAAGTTCTCATTAATGCTAGAAATTCTAGGCTGATAACATAGTGAAAATTCAATAAAATCAAAAGAAAAATGCGATGAGGCTGTATCCCTCTGTTCACATCCAACTTTCAAATGGTTAAGTGAAATCACGAACAAGAAGATTACATAAAGAAAAAAAGGAGAGAAAGATGGAAATTATGAAAATTTAAAAGGATAAAATTTATTGAAACCAAAATATAGTATCATGCAACTAAAAAAAAATTCGCAGTATCTACAAAAATTTAAGGGGGTTGTAAAATAATGAACATGTTTGATTTGTAGCCAAAGGATTCAGCATTGCGTGCTAAAAATAAAAAAATTGTAAAAAAAATGATCACAAAAAATAAACGAATTGATTTTTTTTAAAAAAAGAGAAAACTTTGCAGATAAAAAAACTATAACTTTGACTACCACATAAAAGACTAAGTTGACAGTTACTATTAAAATATTATAAAGGCACTGGGAGATGGAATTACTACAATAACTTCATAGGAGCTTACGTACAAAACATAAATGGCACTTAGAAGGAGAGCTTTTGCTTAAATTTGTATGTTTTACCTTAATTTTTGATGTTACAACAGGAAAAAATTGAGACACAAATAGGATTCAGGAGAAAAATCGATTCCAATTTCATCAAATGTGATGAACCTGAGGAAAAGGGGACTTGCAAAATTTTTTTGGAGAGCAGAAAAGCGCGGTTTTGGTCAAGATGAAATTGTTGATTTCCAGTTTTTGATGCTTATCGATTTCTACACATCTCAGGAACATGTTGTCAAATATTTAAGTCATAATTAGCGCTTTCAACAATTTTAAATGCGTTTTAAGTGAAGGTGGGTCAAAACCGGTAACAGCGCACGGACTGAATGTCATCTTGGCTGGGCAAATGTCATCAAAATTCCTTCTTGCATGATAGCAAGGTTATTATTTGATTATATCAAACAAGAAGCTATAATAGAATTATTTAATATTGAGGTCATTAAACGAGCAAACATTCATTTTTAAGGATAACGAAGCCTATTCTACAGGCAAAACTTTTTCAGAACTTCAGCTACGTTTTTTTCGAAATTAAGTTTTTCCAATCTCAAACTTTGAAATGCTCAAGAAGAGTCAATTTTGAAATTTTTTGGGTTTTTTGGGGAAAATTGTTTAACCCTTAATGCAAAACTATAGTTGTCTCCATTTTAATTTTTTTCACCTTAAAACTCCTTTCCCTCAGGTGCATCAAAAATATCAGTGTTTAAGGAACCTGAAAGAAAAGCACCATACGATACTCGAGAGCGAAAAATAATTATTTCTATCATGCTACGATCATTACAGTAAGAAAGGCAAAATATTAGACACAAAAAATTAGAAACAAACTATAGAGATCTTACCTGTTAACACTGATTTAGAGAAAAGTAGAGTTTCTCCCAAAGAAATAAATTAAAATTAATGAAATTAATAATTTTTCTCAAGAAAGCTTCTCATTGTTAGAGTAGCCATGGCTCACTAAACTTTTAATTTTAACAAGATATCAGCATCTGTATGATCTAAAGTAATTATCTATTAATGAGCAAGACTTAATTTCATAATCTCGCAATAGGAATCACATAACAACCATTCTGAGTCTTGTCACTTTGAGAGGGGGGGGGGGATGTTGGAAACGGTATTAAAAAACTATAAAAGCCTAAAAAAATATCCGCTCTGAGCAGAATATTGTGTAAACATAATGCGAAGGATAGTTCCCTGGCTCAAACAAAAAACATTGAACCAATGTATATACAAACACAAACTTATAAATAAAAAAAGCAAATCTATGCATAAATAAATACATGCAGAATGGACACGAGGAATTATTGACAAATTAATTTGAGGGATTGGCATAGTAAGCATGATCACGAAATCTTCGTTCAATTAAATTACAACTAAAAGTATAAACATGAGTAAATTCAGTGAGAGAGATTAGAATTTGAAGTAAAACACTGAATGTAAAAGGATTTTGATGTGCTATGTATCTGAGGTAGATCTGAGTCTGACAATAATGAAAAAATTATTTTAAAAAAAAGCGCCATTAAAACTTTCGAAGGAGTTGTACAAAATATGATCAGAAGCTCACTTGGATGGCTGGGATAAAATAAACAAAAACGTAAGAATTAATAGTACGGATGTCTACCTGCGACACAAAACCTGTAAATATACTTTTTTTTTTCTTTTTTATGTAGGACGTACTTACATGCAAAGTAAATGCACTGAATTGATGGGTTTTTCTCACTTTCATTTTTCTCCTAAAACCTCAGAAAGTGAGACAAGAAGTTGAAATTATTTCAAATTTCACTCTGGTAATAAAGTTAACAGAAAGTTGTAAGTTCTGCCCAAATAAGGGGGGGGAGCTTTATGATGCAATCTTTACCACTTCAGCATGTTTTGGATTTACCATCGGCGTTATTAAATATAAATGGAACGTGATGAGCCAAAGTATTGTGAAAGGTGTATGAAGGTGTTTTTCGACACTTTTGCTCACTGTTAACTCATCCATACTCAGAGTACAAATACAAATGTTGTTGTAGTTTATATTGTTGAAGTTCATGCAATAAGAATAAAATTAGGATGAAAGTCTACTACTAAGAATCGCATTGGTTGAATCATTATGTTGCTGAACTATACTTCGAATTAAACCGCCCTGATTGAGAAAATGTTCAAACCAACCAGGTTTACCTCTACTTTCTATCTGTACAAATGAAAATGTACCTCTACATTGTGTGCTTTGTTGAGTTCAGAAAAACACGACTAGCTGATTCAAGGGCTGCAGGGAGTGCAGGGGATGATATTTGGGGAAAATTCTTGGGCTACCATGGTTAGTCAAACATTCAATGAAAACGAAATTCAATAAAATAAGAAGAGAAAAATGAAATGGAACTAAAACTACCAGAAAAACACATAGATCACAATTCAAAATATTTTCACTGTAAAATCTACATACATAATTAGCGCTGTGCTTACGATGTGCAGGAGAGAAATTCAGAGACAAAACGTAGGAGAAACTTCCATGAATCGACTTCCAAATTTGGAGAGAAATAATGTCTCAAAGAAAACCCCCTGAATCTCCGAGTAAGGAGGATACCTTCTGACAACAATCAGTTTCAAATGTAAACGACGCCAAATGTAGTGTTTTTAAGAATCTTAGTTGGGTTTGGTTTGAGTGAGCAACTGAAATAACTGCCTGGCAAAATGGAGGATATCATCAGAAAAAGAAGGAATTTCAAGCCGACGTCATGCTTTTGAGATTCTTCACAGATGAAACCTTTGTTATGTTGATGCAAATCGCTGCAATTTGACAAGTTAACACGCATGCCACTTGCAAATTGCCGGCAATTTTTGACTGCCTGCGACAAATGCAAAACCTCCTGTTCTTTTAGCAGAAAGGGCCACCCCCAAAACCTTCTGAAATTTTCCTCGCATATTGTACAACGAAAACTTCAAGAGGTAAAAGAATAAATTTCAGAGGACTATAGACGGATTACATCTTATGAATATTGTTCTTGAAGGGGTCACGAGAGAACTTGTGTCCGTGGGAGCAGTTCTTTGATTGTCCTTTTGAGTTTAAGGACCGTACTCCTAAACCCTTTAAAATTTCATCTCTAATTGGAAACAAAGTATAGAAGTTATAAAAGTTTGAGATTTGAGTTATCCCAATTTTCTTGTATATTGAACACGATTGGATCTTCATATGAGAGGTATGAAAAAATGTGCGAGAGCGATAAAATTTTCAAGCTCTTACCTCTCACTGAACTTAAAATTCACATCAGACATGGTGAATGATTGCTGCCTCAAAGAAGTCCACTCTTCTGCTTCGGGCGCACTTGGTTGTATCCCATTTTTTGAAAATGTGTGAATCCTGCGCATTTCGTCTTTTGTTACTTTCTTTCGTCTTCAAGAAAAAATAAAAATTAAGAAATCAATTGATTTACCAAGGGAATCTCACAAAACAAAAATAATATTAACAAAAAAATGTAAAAATAATAAGAGCCGCAGTGGAGTGAAATCATCATCACAGATTGCAGAAACTGACTTGGAGAAAATAGTATCAAGGTGAGGGGAAAAATTGAAAAGTATAACTAAAAGACGCAGTGGAACTCCTTTTTTGTAAATTGAAGAATCCCAGAGTTTGGTCCTAAGAGAGGATGGAACTATAAGCCCTTTACTTATGAAAAATCTGCTGCACCACAAAAGATTCTGTTCATGTTATGAATCCAAATTTAAACATGACTCTTTTAGAATGAGAGACATTCAATATTCCGTTTTTCAAGTACATGTGTTTAAAGGTAGTGAAAAATTGTCAGAAATTAATTCGTATTTTGAAAATGATTTGAATAAATCAAAACAAAGAGTCATGAAAAGTCAATATTAATTGACGATTAAAAGAGATTTGCAAATTTTTAAGCTGTGAATAACCGGGAAAGGTAATAGTAAATTTATCCTGTAGGGTAGACAACTGAACCAGCAAGCTATTATGATTCATAACATAGAGTTTTTTCTTAAATTGCCAAAATTAAAAACCATTAAAGTTATAACCTGAACCATATACATAAACCAAACATTGGAATTGAGACAAAATTATAAGCTCTTAAAGATTTTTACTAATGATGCAGATTTTTCCTCGATAAAGGAGTATAATTCCATCGACAAAAAAAGGGTGTCTGCAAGAGCAAAAGACGAAATGCGCAATTAGGATTTTTTGAGCCGAAGAAATAACCAACCAACACCTTTTATGAGAAACTCGAGTGCAACTAGAATGAGACATGGAATGAACTTGTGAGGATAAAAAGAAACAAAAAAGAAGTCGATTCGAGGAAGATCACGAAAAATCATGCCAAAAAATCACCAAAAAGCTTTACAAAGTACAACTAATGATTTAATTAATACACATTGATTAACTTTAGAGGGGACGGAAATGTACTGGAATTTTCTCTTATTACTTTGAGTTTCAAATCGCAGTCTTTTAACCTAAATTGTGACAAAATATAGCTAGGATGGAGTCAAATACAACAGTACTTGAAACCACATTCTGAATCTTTCCTTCTATTTAGGGTCCAGCGAAATTTAAGGAGAAAAATCTGCTCATTTCCTCAATAAATGTTTTTCCTAAATTCGAAACAGTCATTCGCAAATAGAGATAGATTGCTGAAACTTGATCATCATTCCTTCATTGAGTGACCTTAACAGGATACGAGATTTCTTGCAATTTTATTTCTTAATCACAGTCGCTTTATAGATAATGGCACCATATTTCATGAAAAGTTATTACTTTGGTGTATGAATTTGAAACTTTGTATCTGAAAAAAACTAATTTTAGTACTTATCAATATCGATATACATATCTACAGGAAGGGTTGAGACAAGTCCAATATTTACTTCTGACCGAGGTTTAAAACATTTTGAAAAATTATTTTTTCCAACATTACAAATATGTCATAAGAGATTCAAAGCTTAAATGAGCATTTGACTCATTTCCAACATTAGTTCATGTCCATGTCTTTTTGAAACGTTCGACTTTGGTGACTTAAAAACAAAAGGGGAGGACCAAAAATGCTTTAAGCTTGGGTCCATCTTTCATGTCAGGAGACTGGATTGAAATTCCCAGGATTCACCTCAATTCAGAGACAGGAGAGATTTGTTTACATCGCCTGAAATGTAAACCAGTTTAAAGCTTTTGATTTACTTCAAAAATCATGGTCTTACTAACAGTTTTTGTGACATTTTTGGAGTGAATGTTGTAGAATGTGATTTGTAAAGATGATTGGATGATTTTTTGGCGTTGTCAAACTACACGGACTTCAAAAAAGAACGACATTGAAAAGAAAATAATTTTGAGAACAACAAATGACAAAAACAAGAACTAGACTACTGATAAGGATTGTCATCAACATGCAGGGAATACGAGGGAGGTGGGGATGGAAAGTACGACCCTTGGTTTCGGTGAAGCGTCCTGGCAGCGATCGCCTGGGACGCAGCCGGAGGTGGAAGGAACGGATCTTGTTCGTCAACTTGCATGTAATCACGCCTGGAAAGAAAGAAACAAATTTACTTCGGGTGCTCCGACAGTGAAGTGATCTACAGAACAGATGTATCTTGGAAGAGGATGGTCCTGAGCAAAAATCAGACAGAAAAGCAAGGAAAAAACGAAAATTTCTAGTATCAGGAAATCTTTTGAGTTATTTGCTGCAGTAAAATGACAATGAATTGAACCTAAAAGGGAGGCTAAACACCAGCCTATTATTCGATTTTTGTATCAGTACCAAGTCAGTTTAAAAAGTTTGCGGGAAAGTCTCTCACTACGAGTCTATGTTATTTTCAGGCAATTAAGTTTAAAGCAATTAACAAAAAATTTAATGTTAATGTGTTGGTCTCTTAACGCGGCTGCAGCTGTGATTACATTGACTATGCAGACTGCGACTGCATTTGAAAGCATGTTATAGTTAGCAACTTTCTCCTCCAATTTTAAGGAAAATAGTTCAGGTAGATTCAACTGAGTCATTGGTAACAGATTTTTACATTTATCTGATTAACGTACAATTACAAGACAAGATTTTTCCACAAAGTTTTTGCACCGACCTTGTACTTCAAAATGGTGAATTTAAAATCGTGATATTCCTATACATGTGTACTTAAACTTTGATTCTTATGTTGAAAATGGCACTAGAATCTTTTGGACAGAATCCTTGACCCAAAAAAAGGTACACTCTCTCCTTAAAGTAATCGTGGTAATATGCTTGAGCATCAGAATGCAAATAAACGACTAGATCTACTACAAAGTGGAGGATTTTTCGTCAAACCCTAAATGAATTCAGATATTTTAGTTTTAAAGCTAAATCAATACTTCACTGTTACTGATTCTTACTTAAAGTTTTGATTATCGTGCAATAACAATTTGAGGGCCATCATTCTAAGAGCTGCACAAAAGAAAAATACAGCGAAAAAAATTGTTCTCATGAGGAAAAACTAAAGGATAGCGCAAAAAAAGTGCCTCTCAGTAGAACTGCAGGTCAATGAGACCCAAATAAAATTAGTTCTGGCCAGTTGAATTTTTAATTAATTCTAGATTTGTGTCATAAAATTGAAAGGAAAAAGCGGGAAAAGGGGGACTTTTATGAGCAAGGTCCAGTTTGAACTGGAACAAAATTATGCTTTTTGGATTGGAAAGATAGGAGAAAACTTTCTTAAGGTGTTACTCCCTTTGATGAGATTTGAGACGGTCTTTAAGTTCATATTGCCAGTCGAAGCAACTTTGTGATTCAAATTTTAAAGAATAAAACAAATTACTTCTTCCTGATGGAACCAACTACACAACTTCTCTTTGACAAACAGGAAATGGATAGGTTGTTAAAAATTGAAAAGAAAGAGAGAGAGAGAGCACAGAAAAGGAGCACAGTAATACCAAGAAATTTTAAGGATAAAAAATGTATTTTCTATAAAAAAGGAGCTCATACTAACTGCTTTTCAATCTGAAGTCTGTCAATTAATTGTGGCTGTACCACGTAAAAATTTTAATGCAAAGAGGAAGACATAAATTGCGTTCACAAAATGCTGATAATGATCCACAACACAGAGTAAAAATCAGTCATCTATGAGTCAAGTGTCCTCGGCAAAATTTCACGAGAACACGTTGAACACATCGAAAACTTTCAAAATTTTATTATGAGTGAAAAATTGAAGTTTGTAGTTTACATTGTAAGTAGCACATTCAAACTTTCTGATCATCAAATCGTTAAGATTGGACATATTAATATGAACATATTGTCAGGAGAGGGTAATGGACCACTAGACAAAGTACGAATTTAAGCATTCTGATACATGTTTCTTAACCAGAATTTATCTTAGAACGCGATTCTTGCATCGAAAATCACTGAAATCACATCCTAACTATGATATTAACTTTTTTTTTTATTTTTTTTTACATTGGTTACAGGAAAGTTGAATTGCTCGGTCACAAGAAACGCAATATTCTCAGTGAGTCCAAACCCGCACTTCAACAATCTTAGCAAGCCTCTCAATTGAGCAATATTTCCGTTCCTCCTCCTGTTTTTTAAAGTGTTACCAACAAGCAATGACAAAGCCAAAGTACAGAGATTGAGGTTGTCATATTTTCATTCTGCAGAGACTTGCGCTAAACATTGCCACAACACTGTTGTGGCAATGTTTAGCGCGCGATTTGACAGACGTAAAAAGTTGCATTTTCATAATCAAGAGGTTTAAATTTACGTACCAAGAAACATTAAATATCTTGATTAAGAGTTAATTTCAGTAATTTGCGTTGCAGGAATCGTATATTACATGAAATTTTGGTTAAGAAACATGTGTCCTAATGCATAACTTCATACCTTGTCAAGAGGTCCATTTTAAAAAGTTCACATATTTTTGAGAGCATTCCAAGAAGTCATGAACCCTATGTGTTCTTTGATTCATGACTTTGGTCACTGGTAATGGGTTTGCTGTTAACACTTAATTGAAATTCAGCATTTGGTGAAAAGGAATAATCTGATCAGCTCCTTACTGTAAAGATTATGACGAAACATAAAAATCACTCACTTTTTCCGGATGTAAATCCATGTGTGCGAGTCGAGCCATACAAGAACAGTGAAGAAGAAGCCGGCAGCAGCACTTGCAATTAGCATTAGTGCCAGTCCAAAGCTAAAGGAAAACAAAACCCAACAATTATTATTTTTCAGCCAAGCTGAACAGTTATGTGGCTTTCCAAGGGTCATGTGCTTGGCTAAAATCGGTTAAATAGTTCTGAATATAAAACAAGAAAATCTTCGAGGTCAACAACTACTGATATTTTTTACTTTTTTTATTTTTTGTACATACCTATTTCTTTAATATTTATTATTCATTAAGTTTTAATTGCAATGTATACTTCAAAACAAGCTGGGTTCAAAATTGCTGGTAATTCAAATTTTTTTAAATAAATTGTTGCTCACCTTCTTTCACTAGAGGCTTTAATTCTACATTTACATTTTGTACATTTTAAAGTACATTTTAGTTGCATTTCTTGGGTTTCCAACGGATTGGCGAAATATACAGTTAAAATTTTTGTCTTTTTTCTTTTTAAAATTGTCTGCACTTTTAATGCAGAATAATGCAATAAACAGTGGATATATAGAAATAGGACCCTACTAAAAATGCCATATCAAACTGTAGAAAACTTACAGTCCAACTTCGCAGACTGCATGAAGGGCTTGCATGTACTGCTGGTGGATTGGCTTGCAATCAACAAGGCCAGCTAAGCTGGCGATCATTTCGGAAACATGGTTGACTTCTGTTGTGAGGATCTCCAGCCGCATTCCCAGTAACGGAGGTGGGTATAGCTCCTTGGCTGGCCTTGATACCACTGCTAAATTGAACTTCATTGCCTGCATTGACTTGGTTGCCTTGTGGATTACAACTGTAAATGGATTTGTGCGAGAAATCTCACACGTTGTGTAGTAATGGAGGATGTCAGATTTGAACGAAGATGGTGACTCATGTTCCAGAACCTGATCAGGTGCGACGCAAATATCTCCAAGAGCCTGTGGTTGACAAAATTTGGAGAGTTTTTAATACAGATTTGAAGGAAATGAAAATAAATCAAGGTATCTAAAAATTCTTTATTTTGTAAATTCCCTGATATTTAGTTGTTTTCCACAGTGAAATTCCCTCATGAAAACCTTGAATTACCTCTTATTTCTTTCTGGATTCTTTTAACCGATTTAAGATTTTTCTTCAAAGTTTAAAGAGAAAAATCAAATTTTCCAACTTTTAACTGATTCTGTAGAACCAAGTCAAGACCGCAAAGTTTCAAAAATTTCATATCCGAAAGTTTTTTTGTAGGAAAAGGGAAAATTTCACACACATGGGGTTTTTCCCTTTATGATGAGTAAAAGAACGAAAATTTGTAACTTTGCTCAACTTCTCTGTTTCTAATTTGAAGGATTAGGAACCAATGGAGACAATCCGAAGGATTTTCACACCAACTGCCACTCGTTGCCAAAGTTTTTCACACCAATTTCCTGATTTTCCCACCAAGTTTTCTTCCCCTGATATTTCTCCCTATTTCTAGGTTTTACTATGTTTTAGAAACGATGAGCTGAATTGTTCTCAACTATTTTGCAGAATGAAACAATTTTGTGAGGTTTCAATTTGAAGACTAGTTATTTGATAGATTGACAAAAGAAGGGTAAAAACATGTTCATGCCTTTAAATTTGGCCCTTTTTCCATTTTGATCTCAAAACAAATCTACTCTATAGAGAAAAACATTTTTGAGTTTAGGGTGTAAGATTACAACTATGAATCTGTTTACGATTACTTTTGGTCATTATATTTATTTTCAACTGATTGATTAAAAAATGATAAAACATTTAAAGCAGCATGTAAATTCAGCTGATTTGCAGCGTTATAAACATGGGTGGTGACATACTTTGACATTAACCAGAATCAGTGTAACTGCATTTTACATTCCCTGATTTTCTCTAATGATCAATTTTACACCTGCTATCACACCTTTGTTGAGATGCATTACTTTTAAGTCGCAACTTTCTGGGATTCGGTTATCTCTAAGCAGTAACAGACTTATGTAATTATGGAAGTAATAATAAAAGAGAAAGTCTTACCACTGAGGTAGCAAGATACACGGATGTTGACAACCATGAAATGATCACAGCGAACAGTCCAAAAACGGAGAACCTAAAAGAATATGATAATATGAACAATTGAAGACTTGATGATACACAAGAATTTTACTACTGGCTTGAATTGTTGACTTCGATTTTCTCTCTCTGTTTTGTTGGTTTGATTATCACTCTGAATAGACATACATCTGCAGAATATTAATGAAAAATATTCACAAACAACAGAGAGGGCCCACAATGAATTACATCAAACATTGTTCAATAGCAAACTCTATGATATTTGGGAGGTGCTGTGATACCAACTTCCTTAAAAGGCTATATTAAGGCTATTAAAGGCCTTGTCTCCACATGTCCCAAGGAAAAATCTCACTTGCCAAGTTGAGAAAAATATTGAGTTAGTTAATACTAATCACAGTACCAACTTAGAGTCCTTGTGAAGTCCCAGGAATGACTTAAAACGAGGAAGAAGACATTTTGTTGTGTTGTTTAACAGGAAAAAAGCCTAGAAGTTTCATTCTTGCGACTCAAACTTGAGAAAAATCCTGTGAAACGTCCCGAGGAGACAAGGTGTTAACCATTCCTGAGACCAATGAAAATTTCTGAGCCTTCTGTTCATGACACTTTTCCAAAATATTTATGGCAGAAAGTTAAGTTTTGAGCCTCTTGTTTTCAAGTTACTTAACGGCAAAGCAGCGACAGTACCGGATAACAGTTGATCAAGAAGAGAATCTTTTACTTTATTGAAAATCTATTGAGGAAAATGTTCTCGTATCGCATAGAGGTGCGGCCAGGTAAATGAAAGATCTCTTAATCAGCAGCCTTTGACTGGTATTGCTGTCCCTGTCACACCAATTTACTTGTAATGGACTTTAAACAGCTTTCTTTTCACTTATTATCTTGACTATCTACGACATTGACATTATAAATATAAAAAGAAAAAATTTCATTGCTCCTAAAAATTTTTGAATGAGAATAGATCAAAAAATTTCAAGTGTAGGGCAATTGTGATGTTGACCAGATGGCATTCATTGGAGGAGAGACTCTTCCTTCTGTTTCCAGCTTTTCCTGAGAACAATCCGTAACTTACTTGATCTATTATTAGATACCGCTACCAACATGTTTCAATACTTGATCTAAGTTCTTTATTTAAAGCAACCTTGAGTGCCTTCTGACACCTGATGTGATTGACTACGTTCTTGCCCCGTAGGCTTCCTTTATGTCCCATGTTGGAGCAGAAATTTTGTGCATTTAAGTGAAGTATAAACAAGCAGATGGCTTTCAGTATCTCTTATTCTTTGAGGTCTGAAGTGCAAGGGAAAAAAAAGTGGTTAAAAAGAGAATATGAATTACCGTAGAGTCTTGCGAAAAAGCACAGGAGTAAGGAACGAAAGAGAAGATCAGGGGGGCTTATAAGGACAAGGAGAGGATAAAGGAGTAGCATGGAAAAATGGCTGAAAACAGGAAAGAAGAAAAGGATTAAATTTTTTAATATTCTACTCGGACTGGAGAGATTAAAAGTTTCATGGACAAGACAATATCAGGGAGGTGGCAGAGAGAGAACATTTAAAAAATGTCACTCATTCCTCCATCTGCCACGGATCTGGAAGGTTACGTTGAAGGAGGCTTTCAAGGAAACAAATTTGTCAACAATAAGGGAGGCTTCTGTATGGATTAAAATAATACTTACAAAATTAGAGCACAGCGAGAATGTCTGGCAACTCCGAACAAAAGGATTACACAGAAAATTAGGAGTACACTCAATACACCCATTGTGACAAGCCACCTGCGGAAATCATTGTCATTAGTTTATTGTTATGCTTATGTATACAGATGAATTTTAATAGCAGACAATTGGAAGGATATAATTATTGTCCTAACGCCCCAATCGGTTTGTGGCTTGGTGTAGAAAATTTTTAAATTATCTTAGTTCCTGATCATGAATTTGAGGGGCGGATTCCCTGATGAAAACTTAGGGCTTCCTATTATTAATTCCCTGTTTTTTAAAAGAAAAACTATAACTTCTTTCGGAGCTCAGAGCAAAAAACGTTCTCCTTGTAATCTCTTCTGTAATTCTGTGGTATTGCATCAATTTTAACTTCCGAATTAAATAACAAGGGAAACAGTCTCAAGTTAAAAGAGAAAAAAATCCCGTTTTCCTTTAATGCATGTTCCCTAATTTTCTGGAACAGTTTATCATCGTAAAGCTTAAATCTCTTTTTCTCACTCTCTCTTTTTCTTTTACACTTCGACAAAGCCTTGTACCTTGGTTTGCAATTTTGTAGACTTACTGCCATCCTTTATTTTTAAAGTGAAAATCACCAAACAGAAATTCTTGCCAACTGCTGTAGTATTTTCTCTCTATGCAAGGAAAATTCGGAGAAAACTCCATAGAATGATGGTAACCTTGGACTCTTTTTAAAGAGTAGAATAGGAGCAGCAATTTTAAAACAGTGTGACCAAGATACGTGGTTTCAGAGTTTCACTGTTGACTTACAAACCTAACTTGCTACCAAATGCCTGGATTGCCCTACAAGTGGAGTGTTCTTTTTCATTTGAATTTGCATGATTGTTTTTGTGGCAAATTATACTATTAAGTGCATCGATAATGTAAGTCCTCGGTTTGCGCCGTCGCAGACTTCCTGTCATACTTTATTTTTTAAACGGAAAACTACTCAACGGCAATTTTTTAAAACTGACGTGATTTTTGTTCTCTGTACGCAGAAAATTCTGCAAAAACTTCAAGGAATAATGTCAATTTGTTCTCCCTAAAAGAATAACATAGAGGTAGAGATTTTCAGACACAGCAAACGAGATATGTGACTGCGAACTTACGCTGTCGACTTATACAAAGACATTCCAGAGAGTTAAAAGAGTCTGGTTTTCTTACTACTATTGTTAAAATATATAAAATAGACTTCATCTAAATATGTTGACCCCTTAGATTCCAAAATAAACCAAAACCCAAAATCATATTCAGCATGAGCAGTTTCAAATACAAGTTAGGACCAAATACAATTGAATAAATTAATCTGGATGGATTTAATGTTACTGACAGAAACTGCAATCCCTTCTCAAGAGAGCACTGGTCTCTCTCAGTATATTTCTCACCTCAATAAATTCTGACTGCACAAGATTCGTCGGTACTTACTCAAATTAAAGATAAACCATCATTTAGTCAAAAAATTATTTGCAATAAACGATTTGATGCCACTTAATGCACTGGAAAGTAAGGTTGGGGCGACTTACCTGATAGTTTCGGCTTGGCTGGCCAAATTGATACCCTGCGCAAAGGCTAAATTGCGCAGAGGTCGACTGATGTCTCGACAGCTGTCCAAGGATGCTGTCCTGTTGCCTGTCATGGCATTGATGGCATTTTGTAACAGTGCTCGTGCAGTTTGATTTGCGATGGGATTATCAAACACATCTTTCAGTTCCGTTAATAAAGGATAAATTTTACGTTCTAATGTATTTTCTATGTTAGTTGTCTGCAACAAATACAAAAGAAAGATTGAAATTTTGAAACATGATTATAAAAATGCTTGAAGTGATAAATATTGGGGGGAATTTTTACGGTATCCTTTAAAGAGCTCTTTTGTGACCAACGTTCCTCTAATTAAAGAGCAGTAATTTAGATTTGATGAATGATTTAGAAATCGCTCATTAAAGAGAAAAAAAAGCATGACTAAAAATTGAGATGCTCCCAGCTCTTAATACTGATGAATTAAGTTCATTCATCTAGTCTAGATAAAATATAAATTAAATTCTCAGAATAGTGTCAAATTCAAGCACAGACATTCTGCATAGAGTGAAGGAATTAGAAATGATCGACTATTGATAAAATCAATAATATTAGGTCTGGAGGAATTTAATCACATGTTTGATTGAACTTTAAAGTAATAAAACTCTCAGTGATGTATGAAGGCAGCAACACATATTAAATGGAAATACGATAAAACGAAAAATTGTACACAAACATTCAGCTTTGGTGTTCTTGAATGTGTACTCCCATTTCGTTGATTTTCGAAGTACTCTAGGATGTGTGCCCCTGTGCATGTGCCTTAGTAGAGTTCCTCGAAAGTGAATTGAATTTCTATGACCTGTTCTTTGAACATCATTTAGATTGTGCCCTGATATATGGCTTAGGAATAAGAATTAATAAAACATCCTAAAACAAAGCATGATATTGATAGTTTTAGTCGTTAATGACGTTGTCGAAGGGGATTTAGAAGTAGAAGGTTGTTTTCCGGAAAACGGTACTTAGAGCAACTCTCCAACAAGATATGACATGCAGGGACTTGAAGAAATTAACGTTGTCTCCAGGAAAGCATAACTTACAGAAAAGTAATAACGTGATATATTTAGTGAACTATTCTCAATAATTTTCAACAAGCTTCTATTTTAGGGATCACTTCTTTGGTTACATTAAATTGTGAATAATACTCTACCTTACTAAAATTTTGGCCTCAAAATTTTAATTAGAGTGAAGAAATGAAAAAAATTCACTTAAAATTTGAGAATAAAAATGCCTAGGTACAATGTACAACACATTGAATATAGTTTCATTCACACAACATTTTGGTGAAGAGGGAAAATGTTTTAATGCATTATTATAAATAGCTATTCTAAAATCATTAAATAATTCTTGGTCGTTCTTACCTGATTTCTAACACCTGAAATTATCTTATCAATATCACGAACTGCTGCCTGGAAGTGCAGCAGACCATTATGCACATCATCGTTGCCATAAAGACTCACACCAACAGCACCACTGTACAACAAAAATAAATTTGAATGCATTTATGAACTTATACCACCTGCCATTAGATAATTTTTTAACAAAAAAGTTAAAGTGTAAATGCATTTTTAAATAAAGGTTCAAACTCCATGGGAGTAAAAGGGATGGAAGCGACTTTACTTAACATTAAAAAGATACCCAATCGGTGAAATTGTGAGACAGCTGTAAAGAAGCTTATTTCTCTGAACATTTTAATTCATTTTACACCACTTTAATTGTTGCATCTACTTAACTGTGGAAATTATTTTCAACTCAAAAAAACTCAAGACTGGTAAACTAGACATTACCGGTTTTCGCACAGCATAATTCGCTTAGAGACTTAACTTGGCAAAACGTAATTTCTTTCCTTTATGAAAAGAAAAATAAAAAAAAATTGGAGCTACAATTTTAAGACGTAAAATTGTGTATTTTTTCAAAATTAAGAATTTAGAATTAAGATGAATTCTGAATGCAGAACAACTTACCAACAGAGGACTGTGAAAATTGCAAGGGTCCATTTTAAAACTACTATACTGTGTTTAGGCCGAGGCTTTCGATCACAGCATCTTGTTAACAAATAAATTAAAAGTAAAAATAATGTGATGATCAACCATGCTGCTGGTATTGATCCTAGGATACCCAGAGACTGAAACAAAGAAAATAAAAATTCATGGATGAGTACCTCAAGACATATTTATTAGTGCCAATAATGGACTGAATATTAAGTGTTTGAGTTCATCACAATCAAAAAGTGAAATTGAGAACTGTTGTTTTTCTGAGAGGAAATTAAGATCCCTTTTTTCACATCTTCTAATTGCAACAGACAGATGGAAAAAGATCTACAAAGAGGCCATTAAAATGAGAAAAATGTCATTTCAGGATTCCTGTGTCTGTTTAGTTACTACTCAATTTAGGGGCTATTTTATGGAGAGTTCTTGAACCAAGTCACCTAAGACGACACTATTGTCATGTGATTGGACATTTTTGAGGCAATTTTTTCATACTAGTTGACCGATTGTTCAAGCAGGTTCAGGTAAATATTCCCTCATTTTACCGTTGGTTCACATTTACAACCATTGCTCAAGGAGAGAATACTTATCTGAGACGCACTAAAAAATTCTTCCCAGATAATGGCCCCCTCAGTATTTCAACAGAAACAATGTTACACACTTTTATCAACTGTGACATTATTGCTGCATGGACATCTGGTTAATGGTAACTGGCGTAAGAAATATGAAATAGGCCAAATTACTGCCTAAACTATGAGAATAATCTTGAGTTGTCCATTAAATGTACTCAGATGAGGGAACATCTTTGGGACTATTTGAGAGTTTATGAGGTTCCATGTAGTTGTTGGAAATTGGTCGAATTTGAGAATTAGAAAGTTCAGTGAACCAAAATCATGGTAGACGAATTATTTTGATACATGTTTGGTCACATTTGCCAGATTTCGGTGAATATCGTATGCAATTTTACAAAGTTCGATGAACATTTTATCAAGTTTTAAGAACAATAAAATGAGTAGATTTATTTAGTTTACTGTTTCAAAAACAACAGTTTCTAAAAGGGCCCTTAAAGAGAGCCATTACGTTGCTGGAAAGAGAGAAAAAATATAAAAAAATCTAAAAAGTTGTGTCGTAAATGTTTAAACTGGTAATATCCCCGGTGAGAAGAAGAGAAAAAGTCTAAAACCTTCAGATAGACTCGGACAGAAGAGACCCATAGATCAAGGAGAGGATTAAAGGTTCAAAAGATAACGTTTTTGCAGTTCGTGCAGTCCTTTGGCAACTCTTACAATTTTCAACTTATTCATTCATTGTTATCGAACCGCGGCAAATGAGTAATTATCAATTTTATCAACAGAATATTAATGATGAGGAAAATCTTAGTCAGCCGAGTTATCGACAGGCGNGGGGGGGGAGAGAAAGGAAAATCATACTGCACACAAGCTTGTTATCGAGCACCAGACTATGCTGTCGTGCTAAGGAAGAACGCCGTATGAACATTCGAGAGTTGCCAAATTTCCTCCGATAAAATGATCATTTTTAGGATATATATTGTGAATATTTTCTCTTGAAATTTGCAGATGATTTAGATCTGGCTGCGAATAAAATTATCTGAAAAATTGGAGGAAAAATGGTCACACATTTCTCTGTAAATCTGCATTTTATGAAAGGAAATTTGGCAACGCCTGTAGGTTCATACGGCGTTTTTCCTTATCACGGCGGTATGGACAAGCTGATAGAGTAGAAATAGGGCCAGGCGCTTGCTTTTAGATCTGAAGTTGGATTGCAACGAACAGAAGGGTTGCTTCTGAATCGAAGAGAAAAAATAGAGTATTTTCTTCGGAAAATACACTAACAAGAGCCGTATTTCGATTTACAGACAGAGTTGCACCCCTTACTTTTGGGGCGGTGGAGTGAGTCTCCTCTGATTGACTGCGACGGTAACCGTTTGCCGTAAATCCGCAGTCGGCTGCTGCCAAAATTTTTGGTCCTTATGGAAAATGACATGGATTTTTTCACCATGGTGAAGTGACTCGAAAACGATGAGAGATATATATAGGATGGAAACTTCAAAAATTCATTTTCGGAAATTTTCCGAAGGTGATAGGCCGATCCTTTTTCATCACTTTCGGCCGGGAAAGCGGCTGAGAATGCATAGCTGTTTATTACTTTAGGATTTTTCAAAAAAAAATTTCTCGCATGCGATGAAAACAAAATGGGACTTATGATTCATGGTTATCTTCAGAGATTTCCCGAGAAAAAATTGTCGAATTTTCCAACGCTTGGACTTTTTTCTTATTTTTCCGGCCATTCCCCCGCGAAAAAACTGCCGTGTTATTCCTAAGGAGGGCAGACATTTTTAGCAACAGCTAACTGAAGAAATTGGCGGGAATCGTCAGCCGATCGGAGACGACTAAAGGTGTGCCACACAGCGGCCTGCAATTCAAATTACAGCTCTAGTTTTCTCTTTGCTCTAGATTATTTGCGATTATTGGGGAGAATCAACACTGATTTTTTTCGATAGGTTTTGGCGATGTTTCATTTGTGAACTGGAATTCAAAAGAACGAAAAAAGCCTCTGTATAAAATCTCTCGACTTTGATACCGAGCTACCTTGCTTATTTTCGGCCACAATTTGGATTTGCGAGATTTGCGTTTTCAGCTCGAGTCGACCGTTGAACCGTCATGCCATTTAGTCTCAGGCATAAACATTTATCACTGAGCGAGCATTTTTTTTTGAGTTTTGTTAGCACCAAAAAATATGCTGACGAAAAAAAAACTGACCGAGAACCGAGCGTAAGAAGGTTGAAAAGAACACGTTGATGATGGGTCTATCGTCCAAGAGGAAAAAGCCGAATGAATATTTGAATTTTGCCAAATTCCTGATTAAAGATATACATTTAAGACGAATTATGACATCTTTTCATTGAAAGGAGGGGTATCGATAAAGGCCGTTTTTGGGCCCAGCCTGAATTTTCTCGACTCACCGATATTCTTGCTTTTCATTGCAGGTTTATACTTTACGGAATAGGTACGTCATGATTTAATTTATGACCTCTTTTTGGGTCTAATACCTGGCCTAAACATGGGTCTAGAGGCTGAGTTTGGCGGAAAGTCCCAATTTTTGGCGTTCGACCGCAAATCCACCACATCCTCATTTATTCGCCGATATCAGCCTCCAGACCCATGTTTAGGCCAGTATTAGACCTAAGAGACCGAAAATGAGCAGATCATCATGCATTATCCGTACAGTATAGACTTTCAATGAGAAAAAAAAATCGTTGAGTTGAGAAAGTTCAGGGGGGGCCCAAAACGGCCCTTATCGACACCCCTCTTTTTATATACTACACCGGAAATCATGGCAAAGAAAACTCTGTGAAAAATTGAAAGAAAGATATGAACGAATTTTAAGGTAAATTCATATTTTACGAGAGGATAACTAGAAATGTTGGAATGTTCCTACGGCGTTTTTCCTCCATATCGACGGCGTAAGTCCGCAATCACATATTGCGGTGTCTGAAAATCTCCGCCTCTAGGTTATTTTTTTAAAGGAGAGCAAATTGACATCATTCCTTGAAGTTTTTGCAGAATTTTCTTCGCACAGAGAAGAAAAATCACGGCAGTTTTAAAGAATTGCCGTTGAGTAGTTCTCCATTTAAACAATAAAGTATCGGAAGTCTGCGACGTCGCAAACCGAGTTATGCGATTGCCGACTTACACCGTCGATGTGGCAAAGGTGCAGATGTCCGTGTTTCGTAGACTGTTAATTATTATATTATATACCTACCGTTCGTTGAGAAGCACAAATTTTGGCCACAACTTTATGTTCTCCGCGTGCATTAGTTTCAACGTCTCTGTTCACACTTCGCAAAACCATGATCAAATTATCAATATCGAATCACAGGAATGAATGAGTTGAATGTTAGAAACAAAGAGCATAGGTAATCGGGGACAGGACACTTAAGCATAACCTCTAACTTTGGTTTACCTCGCGTTTCCTGCCTTCTCGCAAGGCTTTGCGGATTTCGTTGCCTGGTGACGCAACTTGTTCAAATAAAACTAAAATTTGACAGAGATTTCTTCACTAATACCTCCTGCCATGATAGCGAAGAGAACAACAAGTGCATAAATATAGTTTTGAAAAAACGGGCTCAGAAGCTTCTGACCGGAAAATTTTATTGAAAAAAGCCTCCGTTCTTTGTCAAATTGCCACTGATCGTCCGAAAGACTCCTAGAAATCGTTTGAATGATTAAAAATCGATTGATAACTCTGTAACTGAAAACTGTGTCTGTAGATTGTTGTTATTTCACCCAATAAAAAAAAAAAAAAAAAAATTAAGCGGCACTACTTAACCGATTCTCCTGTCTCCTCTTCTTTTCTGGACCGGACGCGTCTAGGGTCCGAAAAAAAATTCGACTTAATCGGCATTTCGTCTTAACCGTAGTTCGACTCTGTGAGATTTTACTGTATTTCAATTCCATAAAAAGAGTATTTTCCATTTTCATGCTAGGCTATTGTTAAGCAGGACAGCCGTATGTCGTGCTATCTCTTGCAAGCTTTCGTGATTGCGTTTTGGGAACACATTTTCAGGTTAGAGATTGGCAGAGGAGGGCGGCACTTCCCTTGAAAGCACCGTTTTCATTGGCTCTCTGGAGGAATAATGTTACTAACTGTTGTCTTGCCTGAAACTTCATTTTTTGCGCACTTGCGACTTTCTCATGAGTCTCGTTTGAAAAATTTAGATACATTTTTCTGTTTTAGCTATTTCACCGATTTCATCTGAAAGAGATAAGACGAATTTTGAAGGAAGCTCGATTTCGAAAATTTGACACTTACTGCTCTCTTCGCTATCAGGACAGACTACTGCGATCACACGCTGCAAATAGGGGCATCGATAACTCAACCGACCCACCCTGATCAATTGCTGAATTCGATAGATGAAGCGATAGAGGATAGGATAAAAGGAAAACTGAGCGATCCTATAGGTGGAAACGAGTGATTACAATGGACAAAAGAGGTATGTCATATACTAAGTAACGGAAAACCATGAAGGGCTTGATAGTCAGTCCATCAATTTCACCCTTGGTCCGTAAAAATCACCCGTTCCGACCAATAGGATCGCTTCGTTGCCCCCTTGTCTTCCGTGTCTGTCGCTTTGTCTATCAATTTCAACGATCAGCTCGCAGAGCAAGCATCAAAACCTCCATTTCGAGCTTTGATTTGCAGCATCTGAACTCATCAGCAAGACAAGCTAGAGTCCATTTCTCGCTCGATCACTGTCACCCAACTGCAAAAGAACAAACCATGCTCCTATGCCCATCCTCGCTTGTGGAGCCAATGTGGCGTCTAAACTGTGTTATAATCATAGGCGGTTCTAGACCTTCATGTTTGGGAGTGCCCAGAGGTGGAAAATGTCGGAGACCGGCCCCAAAGGGGACGGTCGCTCAGGGGAGGCCTAATTTTCGGCCCTCAAGTTTTATCCTATTCTTACCCTCCTTTCTCTTTTTCTCTCCTTTCTTACTTAAATACTTACAAATTCAACGTAGAAAATTTTTAGCAAAACTTTCCACCAAAACTACATTCTTACCATAAAAAAAACAGTAGAATCTTTGTAAAACACGGCTATCAATATTAATTCTGTTTAAAACATTTTCAATTAATTGCTGGGATTTTTTTCAGTATGAGCGAATACAGAATCTTTAAAAGCAGTAATTTGGTCTTTTTTAGATCAATTTTCAGATTTAAAAAATTCATGAAATGAAAATATTGCCAATTTTTTGCGCTTCATAATACGATTTTTTCTTGACGTGTTTACTTGCCCAAAAGCCTCTTTCACGGTTCCAGTAACCGTACTTAATTTTTGCTTGGGGGTGCCCGGCACCCACTGGCACCCCCGTAGAACCGCCTATGGTTATAATGTCTGTGATTAAAAAAAATACAAGTGGCGGGATGGTGGACTTACTTCCAGGTAGATGTTACTTTCTATGGCGAAAGTAGAATTGACGAGGTGGAGGCTGACGTTGAGATGGGGGAAGGCGTGGAAAAGTCGGGCCAGCGGCGGCGCCCGGTAGTGCGTCCCCATTATCGAGTACGGGTACATCCTCGATCACGAAGCTTCCATCTTCGACTCTGCAACAAATATACAAACGCAACTAAGTACACTATACAGATATTCAAAGAAAGGGGAATCAATTAAATACCAAGGAAAAATACGATCGGTAGTTTTCTTTTCTCACTTTTCCATGTGTTTGGCATGATTTCCGATTGTTAAAACAACTCGACATTTAAAGCCGAAAAATCGATTCTGAACGTTGAGTACGTTAACTTCTGGACATCCTGTACATAAAGACCGGGATAAGGGATGCTATATGGTTACTGTGGGGGGGGGGGGGGGGGGGGGGCTCCCGCGGGCTGGCATTGAAAATGCGGAGGAGTGTCAGAACGAAGGGATGCCAAATTATGCGATGAAATATGCGTAGTTTGCATGGAGCTATGAGGAGAAAAGGTTGACTTCCGGAACTATTTTGCGACCATGGAGCTACGGGACGCACACACAAGGCCACGATTTGACTGAGTCAAGGGTTCACGAATAAATAAGGGATGGAAAAACAAACAGGAATGCACACGCTGATTTGTGATTTGTGAGGCCGAGTTCTGGGCTCTACTTTGCGGAGTGAATTATCTACAAGTTAGCCTATACTGCCGTGCTAAGGAAAAAAGACGTATGAGCCTTCAGGCGTTTCCAAATTCCCTTCGAAAAATCGCTAAATTTCAAGAAAATTTGTGAATATTTTTCTTCCATTTTCTCAACGACTTTTCTTTATAATTTGATCTGAAAAGTCTTAAAATTTTAAGGAAAAATATAATTGATAGTTCTCCTCAAAAATAAACATTTTATTGGAGGAGATTTGGCAACTCTCGAATGTTCGTTCATACGGCGTTTTTTCTTAGCACGGCAGTAAAGTCCAGTAACATTTAAGAGGGGTATAACGAGCACTTCACATAGGATCAAAGGGATTATATTTTTCAGTTAGGACTAGGATCTACTGTTTCTGGTTAATTAAAAAAAAAAAAAAAAAAAAAAAAAAAAAAAAAAAAAAAACACGGAAAACACATACTGCGTAGAAAAAACTAAGGGCATAAACATTTTTCTTTCTTTTATTTTTCTTCTTTTTTAAACAAAGGAACATTTCCACCCGCGAATTGTATTCTTACTAGGAAACAGTAAGGCATCTTAACTGAAAATTATGGAGGTTTTTATTTCTGATGGAAAAATTAGCAAAATTTTCGACAGAAATTGCAGAGTCATATTTTCGTGAAAGTGGAATTGTTAGGGTCAACTTTGCAACCTTTGAATGGAGTTACATCGTCTGGAAAACGACGAATTTGTGGCATTAACTTCCTCAGTGTAACTGATTAAGATTGAGTGTGCAACGCTCGTAGAGCCTCCACCTCCCCCCCCCCAAAAAAAACCCCTCGGTGTTTACACATTTTTTTGTTCTGCTTTCTCTCCTCACTGGAATTCAATCTGAGAAATATTCCCTCGACAACTCAGCTTCTTATCGTCCCTCGGGTCATTATCAGTTATGACCCGTCATCAAAGCATCCCATGCGGGTAATCAATTCGGAGATTGGAGCCGACAAATATTTATCGGCAAACAGTGAAGCGCAGTCGTAAACGAAGGAAAGAAATCAATGTGCCTGTGATGCATTTTGAGGCGAGGCGGCGAGCGGCGCGAAGATTTAAATCCAGAGAGTCAAGTCAGGGACAGATAGGGACTTTTTCTTTTCTTTTCAACTTGCACAGGAAAAAGAAACACATTGGATCTAGAGTCCAGACTCTTAAAAACATCGACAAGAAGAAGTACTCTTGATTCAATCAGAATCTTTCTTTTTTTTCAACTTGCACTGGAAAAAAAAAACATTGGATCTAGAGTCCAAACTCTTAAAAACATCGACAAGAAAAAGTATACTCTTGATTCAATCAGAATCTAGCTTAAATCAAGAACCAAGCCTCTTAATTTAAGCGGATTTCGTTTTGATTCAAGCAAAAATCCGATTGAATCAAGAGTATTCTTTCTTGTCAATGTTTTCAAGAGTCTGGACTCGGGATCCAATGTGGTTTTTTTTCCAGTTTGAGGCGAAACTGATTGGGCGGCCGCGGCCCTGTGAGCAAGGTAACGTCTACATATGTCCGGAAAGAGCCTTGTTAACGGTAAAATAAAATCTATAAAATTGTGATGCGGCATGTAAAGAGTTAAAGAAGGGTACAATATGTCATGAAAAATGAGATTTATACTGAAAAATCCCTAAGAATGAAAGAAAAAAGGACAAGAGAGCCATCGGAGGCTCAACTAGAGATATTCATCATTTCACCTACCAGCGCTCACTTTAAAAAGTAGTAAAGAAGTTGGATATAGCCTTCTCGAACACGCCAAATTGTATGAGGCTGAAAAATTCGCAAAATTTTCTGGAAAAAATCGGACGTTTGCTGTAATCTTCAATCAACCCATTACCGAATTCCTGTCCCCGCTCCCATTCCCATTTCATTAGTTCCTTGCCGTACCTCCGTCCTATTTCCCGGTCCATTCCAATTTATAATCTTCGCAATTGGTGAAACTGTGATCTGTATGCCCGTTTGTGACACTGTGAAGGCCTAAAATACGGGAACCAATCAGAAATGGATTCGCATTGTCTTTACTGTCAGTATAAAGGGACTCTAGAGCGGTGGTGGCCCGCTCGCGGAAGGTAATTGAAATGGCCCGAAAGTCGCAGTCGGGGGCAGAGGGCAGTCTGGGCTCCAATCTCGGCCGGCGCACAATGGGTCGAGTCAATCAAAGAGGCCGAACATAAAATTTTTTCCTAAAACTGCAAATTTTGGCGTATTTTTCGTCTTATTTTAAATTTTTAGGGGTACTTCTAGAAGAAAATTCCACGAGAAAACCAATGAAACCACTTCAGGGTGTCTACTAAAACAGACTGGCCAAAAATCAGTACTTTTTCAGTACATTCTCAAGAGATTCAGTACCTCATTAACAGAAAAATTCAGTACTTTCTCAGTACCTCCAATTGACGAAATTCGAAAAATTTAAAAAAATTGTCCTTCCCGCTCAAATCGCGACAAAAATTAAACAAATTCCGGACCTACTAGCGAAATTTCCGCACATTTTCAGTACTTCCGGACCGCCCTTAAAAAACCAGTACTATTTCCGGACTTTCCCGAAATTCCGGACTTGTAGACACCCTGCCACTTTTAGAACCTTAAAGTTTTGTATAAACAGAGTTATAAGCGTTTAAAGTTTCCAAACTTTGTCCGACCTGTCCATTTGACCCGATCCACTTAGAGTACCTGTATAGCGAGAGTATGGACAGATCGCTTCATGGAGGGCTTAGGGCCCAAAAGTGCAGCCACCCTTGTAACCAACTTCTAACGCACAAAATTTCACTGCCAGTCTGCAGGTTCCAATTCTAACCAAGATTGCCAAGAATGTACATAAATGAGCGTTCTTCCGCAAAATTGAGTACATTTATGCAAAAACTGAGTCAAACCCGTGCTTAATAAACGACGGTTCGTAACAATAGTATTAGTAAATCGTTCTGAATAATTGAAATTCATAGGTTGGCTGCATTTCTGGGCCCTAACTTTATTCGCGGAAGCATCGATGAAGGCCTGATGGATTTTCGGAGTTTCACATATGTCCATACTCTCGCTATACAGGTACTCTAGATCCACTGTGCGGCGTGGCGAATCGAGGAGCGGCAAAGGCAGGGACCGACCTTTCAACGAGGGACCAAGGTCGCCGTTTGTTCGTGACACCGGCACCGGCCACCGGGGCTCCCGTTCCGGGGCACGGGCTTTGATTTTTCGGAATTGAACTCCCGCTGAGCTTTCACGTCCAAGTCGCCGTCGCGCCGGTCATCTCGTCCGGATCCAATTGGACGTAGTTAAATCAAAAGGAGCTATCTCTATTGTGACCTGGATCTACAGACCCGGAAGAATACATGCATGACGGGGACTTTGCCCCGATGGAGGTGGTTCCTTTTGATTCAAGTACGTCCAATTGAACTCTAGCGGCCTCCGCATGACTGGTCATCGAACTGACCACATAATTTCACTCCAGATCACTCTTTATTGATCCATCAGGCAGTCTGTAGGGTGAATAAGGGTCGAAACAAATGGATTGAAAGTCAGTAGATGCAACCGCCCAAAAAGTTGAAAGTGCATCCCTTAGTAACACATTTTCAAATTTTCCGCGTCCCAAGGTACACTGGGGGAAAAAAACACATTGGATCTGGAGTCCAGACTCTTGAAAACATTGACAAGAAAAAGGACTCTTGATTCAATCAGATTTAAGCTTAAATCAAAAGGAAATCCGCTCAAATTAAGAGACTTGATTCTTGATTTAAGCTTAAATCTGATTGAATTAAGAGTATTTTTTCTTTGTCGATGTTTTAAGAGTCTGGACTCTAGATCTAATGTGTTTTTTTCCAGTGTATTTCAGAAATCGCAAGTGTGCCCAGAGAGAGACTTAAAATAACGAATCTGAATCATGGAAGTACCCCAGAGCCAAAAGGTACCGGACTCCATCTTAGTCTTTTCGAGATATCGGGGTAAACCGCGCGTCGGCCCCGTCGATTCCAATGGAAATCCCAATTTTTGAAACTCCGTACCTCATAATTGGCGTAAGGTGGGGCTATCAAATTTTCCACACACACGAAACCGTGAGTGGAGATTACGAAAAACGACACGTAACACATTTTTCCAAACATGTGAGTTAGGTACCTTTTGGCTCTGGGATACTGATATCAAATATGATTGATGCTCCGCAGCCCGTGACAAGATGTACAATAATAAAACAAATTACACAGCGGGTAACAAGGCTAATTTTCAAGTAAATCATACCAAAACGTTTTTGCTGAAAACTCAGCCTTTCTAAATTGAGAATTTGCAAGGGTCTGAAATTTGATGAATTTCGTGTTTAAGTAGAATCTACTGAGTGAACTGAACACGAAGATACGCTTGATTCATAAATTGAGCAATTCTTGAAGGAGCTATGACAAAAGAACCGTTTCTGCTAAAATACATGCGTTTAAATGGGAAATCCCGCCAGATGACGTCACGAGGCAGT